GGGATGTCAAGGGCGTCTGGGTCATCCTCAGGAACTAGCAGCATGGAGCAGAGATGAGGAGCGGCCTTGGACAGGAAAGCAAGCTTGTACTGCTGATCCTCCAGGACGTCAGTGCTAAGGGCAGGAGCACCCCTGACGGACGGAGGACGGGCAGGGTTGGAGACCAGAGCGGTGGCGTAGGTAAGGCGGCAGGTAGAGGCAAATTCAGCGACGGCACCGACAAGAGCATCAAGACTCGAGACTGGAACAGACGGGCCGGTAACGAGGGAGGGAAGGACCCGAGGAATAAGAGGACTAGCGATACAAAGGAAGTCAGACAGAGAAGGCGGAGCGACGATGGAGGAGGCAATGGAAGGAGAGGAGGACGAGACGCATGGGAACGAAGCAACATTGGGTGAGAGCGCTGAACAGGAGAGACAGTACGAGCATGAGAGGGAGGAGAGAGAAGTGGGAAGGAGGCATCGGGTCAGGAGATACAGGAGGAGACACAGGAGGAAAACGATAGGAAAAACGAGCAGGAGATGAGTCCGGCGTAGGGAAACAGGGCCGTAGAAAGGCAGAGGAGGCGGCGGCAGGGGAGGCACAGGCGGGTGGTCAGGGGAGGGAAGACCGAGGAGGCAAAGGGCGGAAACCGGCGGCGACAACTGCTGCTGCTGCTGCTCTGCACCGACACCAGAACCTCCACCTGCACCACGGCTACCTCTTGGACAGTCCATGCCAACACCCCTAGAACGAGAACCCTCTCCAACACCAGTTCCACCCCCAGGACCGCCGGGTTGAGCCACAAATGCAACCCCAGGAGTAGCACATCCAGAACCAGCACCCCCAGAATGAGAACCCTCTCCAGCACCGGCGCCACCCCCAGGACCACCAGGACAAGCCACGACAAGAATCGCAGAACGAGCACCCTCCTCAACGCCCGCACCCCTAGAGCTCGCGGACCCCTTCGGCGGCTGCTGCTGCGGCGGCGATGTCGGCGGCTAATGCGACGGCGGAGGAGAAGACACCGGGGTGGAGACAGGCGATGAGAATGGCACTGCAAGGCCACAGGAGTCAGCTGACTCTTCGACGTGGAGAACCGTTGGGAGGGGAGTGACGTGAGACACACCAGACGGGGCAGGACAGGGAGCGAGAGGAGCAGGGGGCTACTTGGGGAGTGGGAACCAGAAATAGGGGCAGGGAAACCGAGAGACCTCGGTGGAAGATAGGGACCGGCATAGTACCGCTAGACTTAGCGATAGTGCGTTGGCGTGTCTCTATCGCAGTCAGAGCGGTGACAAAGGTAGGGAGGATGAGGTTACCTGAGTGCTGACTAAGGAAGTGGTCGTGGGCAGTGGCTAGGCGGTCAGGCAGGCACGTGGAAATGAGGTAAAGGGTAGTGCAGAGTGGTAGTGGGAAGGCAGTGAGCTCTGCCTCAGTGCTAGCGGCGCGGTAGCTAGTCTCCAGTGTGCGGAGGTGCGTGGCAAAGTCAGCGACAGTGAGGAAAGACGCAAGGTTAGGGAACAGCATGAGGAGGATCAGGCGGCCTTCAGAGACTGAGGCGGGGGAGGAATAACGTGCGATGACAGCATCTAAGTAGTCCTTGGCGTTCGCAACAGTGGTAAAGCGGTTGTGGCTAATGGCAAGTTGAGCAACATCGTCGCGCAAGTCACAGATAGAACAGGCAAGCTCGGCAGCAACAAAAGCCTCATGCTCTGCAGACGTGGGGGCGTCAGGGAGGGCAGCAGGCGGGGCAGGGCATAGGAGCATACCGTCGACGTGGACGGCCAGGGAGTGGCCGTCCTGGCGCTGCCCGGTCAGCTGGCGATGGAGGTCTTCGAGCCACGCCTCAAACTCAACGGCTTGACCCTCCACGTCTAGGCGAAGCACACCGTCTGCCATCGCCACAGCTGCAGCAGGTGACAGCTGCAGCAGGTGACAGCTGCTAGAGGCAGAGGAGAGTGGTGGGGAGCGGTGGAGAGTGGTGGAGAACAGTGGTGTGCGGTGAAGAGCGATGGAGAGCGGTGGAGTGTAGTGCTGAGCGGTAACGTGCTGTGGAGAGCGATGGAGACTGCCGGCGGGAGCGCCAGCTCAGAGGGGGGCCAAGGTCGACAGGTGGGGGCGGCATAGCGGCTCGGCGGCTTAGCGACACATCGTCACGGCGACACTGCGGCACGGCTGCCCGGCTGCCCGGCGGCGCGGCGGCTCGGTGACACGGCATCATGGCGGCACTGCGGCTCGGAGGCGCGGCGGCTCGACGGCACTTCGGCTGGCGGGCGCGGGGCTGGCGAGCGATGGGCCGGCGAAGGCGGGGCCAGCGGGCACGGGGCTGGCAAGCACGGAGCCAGCAAGCGTGGTGCTGGCGGGCGCAAGGCTAGCGAGCGAGGGCTAGCGAGCGCAGGGCCAGCGGGCGCGGGGCCAGCGAGCGCGCGAGGCCAGCGAGCTACAAGCCAGCGAGCGACGGGGCTGGCAAGCGCAAGGCCGGCGAGCACAGGGCTGGCGAGCGACGGGCCGGCAGGCGCGGGGCTGGCGAGCGCGGGGCTAGCGAGCGACGGGGCCGGCAGGCGTGGGGCTGGTGAGCGCGGGGCCGGCGAGCGATGGGGCTGGCAGACACGAACTGGCGAGCGCGCGGCCAGCGAGCGACGGGGCTGGCGACGGGCGGCTGGCGCGTACGGGCGGCCAGCAGCTACAGGCGGTTGGCGGCTAGTGGCCAGCGGCGGTGAGCGGCGCGCGGCTAGCAGAGGCGGCTAGCGACGGGCGGCTATGAGCGGGCAGGCTAGCAATGGGCGGCTAGCGACTAGTGGCTAGGAACGGACGGCTAGGACTACGACTAGGTCGGAAGCGCGGGTGGGCGGAAAGGACCTAACCTAGCGCGTGATACCATCTCAGAGTAATGAATTGAGTATGACTAGGGGATACAAGGGGATATATCCTAAGGTATTGTACTCTCTATGAGCATGCACCTATCTAGCCTATAACATATACAATTATATGTTGACACACCTGGCCGCGCGAGGATTCTCGTGCACTTGTCTTTTCCTGACGACTTCGCATTTTTTGGAAACCAATCCGAAAACGCTGTTAGAAACCCCTGAAATTTTCGAAACACTAGCGGACATACCCCGAAACTCTGACGAAAACGTTGCCATCTCTCGACGAATTCTGTCTACGCCCGGGGAAGGGGAGGACTGGCTAATCCCAACCGTCCATCGGACAGGATCTGGCGGCATCGGAAGCGCTACGCCACCATCATCCTTCCGCCCCCTTCCTGGATAAGGACTGCCCCCCTATCGCAACCTAGATGGGCAGAATCGTGGCTCTAAAACCAGCTGTTATGAATTAATCTAGAGTATAGCACAGAATTCAATAGGAGAGCGTGACTACAATTCTCGTCAGAAGAAATAAGGCCTAGCGCTTATATAGTGTTAGTTGACCAGTTTGAGCCTTGAGGGTTGGACCAGTCAAGGGCTTGATTGTCCCGAGGGTGACGGGGTCAAATTGGGTTCGGTGCGCCTCGGTAATAGGTTTGGGGCCGAATAGGTCAACGGAGCTGGTCTGACGTGAGACTTGAAGGCCGAGGCTGCGGATGCGAACTGTTCGCGGCACTCGCTGTGGCGAAACCCAGTAAGGATTTGTGAAATCCTTACAAGAACGCAGAAGTCACAGAACAATACACCTTCCGTCAGAATCAATTAGGTAGCGAATGTTACAATGCCATAACTGAAACGAGTTTGATGATATTATTTCTTCGACTATCACCTGCCTGCTGTATGTTTCCGTCATTCTTCAGCCTGATAGTGTAGTTATCCGAACATCTCTTCTGTAGAAGGGAGTGCGACGCGCCGCTCCTCGCACCTTGTGCGTACTACAGTACATCTGATTGCGGCTGGGTGAAATGCTCTCGGGCTCTTCCGCAGCGAGTGTTAGACCCGAGGATCGAGCGGGAGATCCGAGCTGGAAAAAATTGCATCGGGTCTTGCGAAAAACTGACGGCTCTGGCCAGTCAGCTGTCAAACCGAACAACTACCAAGGTCGCGCAAATGAACTTGCGAATTTCTGGTGGACTTGCAAACTTCGGCCAGTAGTCGCAACCTTCCCCTTGCGACTGTTCACGACCGTGCAGCCGCTGCACCGTCAAGAATATAAAACCCGCAGCTAGGTTTTGACAATCGGCGGCTCCTTCGGCCGTGGGTTGACCTCGGGTCTGACACTCGTTCCGGGATCCGCCATCTGAACAGTCATGTTCAGAAACCGTTGGGTAGCGTAAGCGTAATGGGGAGGACGTGCGGCACCCAAACATAGGTTTCGGACGGCATCCGGTCCGGAGCTTCCTTTCCCCCCTTCCCGTTTCATTCTGCCCTTCGCGTCCGTTCCGTATATATTCAGTGTGCTTTTCCACTGGCACGGTACCGAGCCAACCAGTTTCGTTGCCCACAAGGTAGCCGTGGCGAGGTACGGCACCACCAGCACGTCCAAGAAGCTCGCCGACGTGGCTGTGGTGCAGCGCGCACCGACCTGCGCGGATGTTTACGGGGCTGCGGCTTGTCAAGATTCAAGCCTCAGCGTGAGGTTAGGACTGGGCTCGTGACTCGTGAGGACGAATCGAAGCAAGAGAGGCCAAGGTGAACCTCTGCTTCGGTGAGGTAAGGAGCGGGGATTATGTGTGGGGAGAGTTCAGGTGAGAGTTCGCCTAACATTTCGTTTGCACGGAAATTCTAACTGGGCAGGGGGTACACAACACAGTACAGAAGGAATTAGTGGGGTTGTGGAAAAGAGCATGCCAGGGAAACCTGTTTCTCCCAACTCTCGGGGCATTGGGGTTTCTGCCCTTCGGAAGCTCCACCATCCCCGAGATTGTCACTTGGCTCATGGGCACGCGCAAATTCCAAGAGACCTTCCTCACGAACCCCAACAGTTTTGAACTTTCGAAATACTAGTTTCGAAACCCAAATCCAGCCCCAAGGCCAAGAGCCCAGCGCGGTCAGCATTTGGGGCTGTGTGTCTGCCCGCAGAACAGGAGCCCCCGAGACACACGGGCACCTTGCCACCCGCCCCAAACATTCTCTGGAAAGAGCCCTGCCCCACGTATCACACACTCCATCGGCATACAGTACAGTATTGATCAATTGCACACATGCTGACATGCCCTAACTTCATAGCCGCTAGTCAATTCGAGCGCCCCCACCGTTCACCTTCTACTGAAGGCAACCTGAAGCCACAATTGCGGCAGTGGAAATGGCTGATGGGAGTGTGGCAGAAATGCCTCCAGAAGCACCGCCACCAGATCCAGCCGACGGCGACGCTGCGGCGGCGGCGAGCCAATCAGAAACCGCAGCAGAGGAAATGACACAACCTGGCAATTCCACGGCGGCGGAAACTGCATCCGCCGCCAGTCAGTCCGGGGGGCACGCGCACGGCGCAGCCGCTAGCGGAGAAGGCGCAGGCGAAATTTCCGCCGCGGAAGCTCTCCCTTCCGCCGGTCCCCCGATTTCTGGCGCGCCGCGATCCTCCTCGGGACGCGGCAGCCGCGACGCGCCGCTTGGTGCAGAGGATGAGCTTTCCGCCGCCGACGTGCACTACTTTGCGGAAACGCTCCGCCAATGGCACGGCCGAACGGACACCCCGCGCTGCCCCGCCGCGGGGGCATACCGCCGCCCCTCCGTCGGGGGGAGGCCCCGCGGCATTCCTCTGCAGATGTCCGCCCCGGTCGGGGGAAGCGCCGCCATGCGCGGAGCGGCGGCGGCGTTCGGAGGTGCGGCGGCGGCGGGGGAGAAGAAGAAGAAGGAGGAGGAGCAGCCGCTGTTGGTGAAAGGCGCGGCGGAGGCGAAATGCGCCGGGGCAGCGCGGGGTGGGGCAGCTGGCGCGGCCGCAGGCGCAGGCGGCGCAGGCGCGGGGGAGGGGGACGATGGCGCGGAGTTCGACTACGGAAAGCTGCGGGGAGCGCTGATGGGACTGGCGAAGGACGTGCTGGTGGAGCTGTGGATCGAGCAGCACGCGCGGCTCGTGGAAGTGGGCGAGCGAGAGGCCGCCAGGGAGGCGTACACAGGCATCATGGAGGTGCGAGGGGTTTGAGAGGGTTTCTAGGGCTTGAGAAAGTGGCGTAGTGCGGTGTGGTGTGTGGTGCGGTGCTGTGTGATGTAGCATTGTGCGACGAGGCGTCGGTGTAGTAGTGTGTCGTGCGGCGTAGCGGAGGTGTTGCTGTGGGATGCAGGGACGCATGGGGCAGGAGTAGGAGGGTTGCGATGTTGTCAGGAGATGGTAGTTGCTCCGCTCCGCCGCCGCACACTGCGTCGTAGTAGCAGTTTGCGGCGCCACATGGCACGTGGTGAGACGCATGCAGCATAGCGCCGGGCCATGGGGTGAGGCACGGCATAGTGCGGTGTAGTGGAGTGCGGCGCGATGCAATGTAGTCCCCAGGTCTAGACGGGCCGTCTCTCACCGATCGACTCACCAATACAACCACGTCTTATGACTCGTTTGTCATCTCGATCTTTGCCCCCCCACCCCCACCCCGCCCCCACCCCCGCCCCCTCCCCCCCCCCCCCCCTCCCCCGCCCCCACCCCTCCCCTTTCCCCCTTCCCACCTATCCAGCGCGCGCAGCAGCTGCAGCGCATTTCCTTCCGCATCCCGTCGAAGCGGGAGGGGCTGACGGGCATCGACCTGCTGCTGCGCGACGGGCTGCTCGCGTTCCTCGTCAAACTCAGCGAGTACATCCCGCCCATGCCGGAGCAGGTTGGCGGGGGAGGGGGAGGGGGAGGGGGGACGGTGGGGGAGCGGTGGGGGGGTTGGAAGCGTTCCTGGTAAAACTCAGCCAATACACTCCGCCCATGCCGGAACAGGTTGGCGGGGGAGGGAGGGGGGAATGGGGAGAAGGGAGGTGGAAGGGGGGAGGGTGGGGGATCGGAAGGGGCCAGGGCGCCGTGGGTAGGGGAGAGGGATGAGGGGTGAAAGGAGAGGGATGGGTCCGCTGAACACACATGTAGCCTTTGGGCACTCGTGTATGGCGTGCTGAGCACGTGCATGCGCACACATCCACTGGCGTGCGCATGTGTACCCTGCTGCTGCTACCCTCCCAACGTCCGAAGCATTGCCCCCTCCTCCTCTCCTTTCGCCCCCGCCCCCCCACCCCCCACCCTCCCCCTGCACCTCCCCCCGCACCTTCCCCACCCCCCCTCCCTGCGCTACATGCACTCACTTTTCACTTTTGCTGCACTTCCCTTACAACTATTGTTGACCACCCCTTTCTCTGCACCCTCCTCCCTCCATCGCCCCTCTTCCCTCCCCCTCCCCGTCCACCCCACACCCCCCTCCTCTCTCGCCCCCCCACACCCCCCCACACCCCCCACACCACCCCCCGCCTCGCTCCCCTATTCCCGCTCCACCACCCGGTGAAGTTTAACAGTCTGACGTACACACACAAGACTCAGCGCAAGGGGTTTCGGGTTTAGGGTAGGGACCACCATACAGGGCTTACGTGTCTGTCTTTCTCCTCTTCCGCACAACCTGCCCCCAGGTGGTGAAGATGCAGAATGTGACATACACTGCCAAGATCCAGCACAAGTAAGAGGAGCATAAGGCCCTTCCCCTGTCCACTCCCCCCTCAACATTTCCTCTCATCTACCCTTCTCCCCTCCCCTCCTCCTCCCTCTCCCTCCCCCCCCCCCCCCAGGTGGTGAAGCTGCAGAATGTGACGTACACCGCCAAGATCCAGCGCAAGCAGGAGGGGTACGAGACGGTGGGGTCGAAGCTGCTGGGCTGCTTCCTGCCGTGCCTCTCCCCGCCCGCCCCCTGGGAGAACTTCAACGTGCTCTCGGACCTCTCTGCTTACTTCATGCCTGGTTCTCTCACCCTCATCTGCGGACCCCCTGGCTGCGGTGAGTCTTTGGGATTGATGAGATAGATAAAGGAAAGCAGCTTCTGACTCTCTACACACCCCTTCTTCCTGCAAGAGCCCCCCCTCTCTCCCCTTTCCCCTGCCCCCTGGGATCACTTCAACGTGCTCTCGGACCTCTCTGCCTGCTTCCTGCCCGGATCCCTCACCCTCATCTGCGGCCCTCCTGGGTGTGGTGAGTCCCTTGTGTTGAAAGTGAAGGCCCGGGGCTTTTGAGTCTTCCCTCCTCCCCCTCAAGAGGCCCCCGTCGGACCTCTCTTCTTACTTCATGCCCGGATGCCCGGATCCCTCACCCTCATCTGCGGCCCCCCTGGATGCGGTGAGTCCATTATCCATAGTGTTGATAATATTAAACGTTAAGGCCCGAGGCTTCTCAAGATGCCCCACTGGGGCGGTTTCGACGAGCTCCCAGACCTCATTGCCTGCTCCATGCCTGGATCCTCCTCCCCCTCGTCTGCAGCCCTCCCGAATGCAGTGGGTCCCTTGGGTTGATGAGATAGACGAGGACGATCACTCACTCCCCCCCTTCCCCGCCCACCCCTCTCTCCCCCCAAGGAAATTCGCGCTCCACAAGGCCATAGCAGGCCGGCTGCTCGAATCCAAGTCACGGAAGCTGTCTGGCGAGGTGACGTGCAACGGGCGCGTGTGGCGGGACGTGTAGGTGCAAAGGTTGACCAATTCCCTCTTCCCTCACTCCTCCCCTTCCCCCCCTTCCCCCCCTTCCCTCCCCAGGCAAATCGGCCTTTCACAAGGCCATAGCGGGCCGGCTGCATGAGTCCAAGGCCCTGAAGCTGTCTGGCGAGGTGACGTACAACGGGCGGGTGTGGCAGGACGTGCAGGTGCGGCGCATGGCGGCGTTCGTGGGGCAAACGGACGAGCACATCCCCACGCTCACTGTCATGGAGACGTGCAAGTTCGCGCAGGAGTGCGGGCGGCTGTTCACGCCGAAAGACTACGAGCCCATGCAGGGGCTGGTGGAGATGGTGAGTGGTGGTGGGTACATGGTAACTGGCAGGTGGAGAGCAACGGCACCCACGCCCACAGCCATGGCGTGCGGGAGGTTGGTCCTGTCGCCCAAGGACCATGAGATGAGCCGCTGCACGGGCTGGTGGAGATGGTGTGTGGTGGGAAGAGGATGCAGAGTGTAGTGGGAGATTGGGGATGGGTGGGTGGGAGGGGGAGTGGTGGGTGGGTGGGTGATGGTTGGGTGGGACCTGAGATGCCTCTGCCTACCCCTCCTCCTCTGCTTCCCTCTCCTCCTCTTCCGTCCCCCTCCTCTCCCCTTCCCCCCATCCCCAGGTTTCGCACGGGATTTGGCGGCATGGGCCTGAAGCTGGAGATCACTCTCCACCTGCTTTGGTCATCCCACCTTTACTTTACCCCCTCTCTCTTTTCTCCCAACTCCCTTTCTGCTGCTTCCCCCCCACCCCCAAACCTCCAACCCGAAACCCCCAACCCCAAACCCCCATCCCTAAACCCCAACCCTGATCTCCAGCCCCAAACCCCAACCCGAAACCGAAACCCCCAACTCCGAACCCCACACTCCCAATTCCCAACCCTAACCCCCAATCCCAAGCTCCAAGGTGCGCACGGAGCTGGGCGGCATGGACCTGACGCTTGAGACCACCCTCCACCTGCTCTCATTCCCTGTCTCTATCTCACCCCTCTCCCTTCGTTTCCTGTGCCTCCACACCCCCCAGGTGCGCACAGAGTTTGGCGGCATGGATCTCAACCTCGAGATCACGCTGCACCTGCTCTGATCATCCCCTCCCTCCATGCACCTCCCCCCCCAACCCCCACATCCGAACCCCCCCGAACCCCAAACCCCCAGGTGCGCACGGAGTTTGGCGGCATGGACCTGAAGCTTGAGTTCACGCTGCACCTGCTGGGGCTCAAGGCTGCGGAGGACACCATAGTGGGTAGCCGCACTGTGCGCGGCGTCAGCGGGGGGGAGAGGCACCGTGTGACCACCGCAGAGATGATGTCGGGTATGTGCATGGCGTTGCAGTGATGCCTGGTGAGTGTATGTGTGGCTGGAGCTTCTGCTCTCAAGGCAGCGGCGGGCGCCATAGTGGGTAGGCGCACTGTGCGGGGCATCAGGGGGGTGGGGAGAGGCACCGGGTGACCACTGCAGAAATGATGTCGGTGGGGTATGGCGTCTGGTCTGGTGTATGCTGGGAATGTGTGGCGTCGAGATGATGTCCGGTATGTGTGGCACTGTGGCGTTGCAATGGCCGGTATGTCTGGTGTACATTGGGTATGTGTGGCCGGCTAGTGGTTACTATTCCCAAGGTACTACCGCATCAAGATGGCAGAAATGGTGATGGCCAGCCCCTGCCCTGCCTACCGCTTCCCTCCCCTGCCCTCTCCTGCCCTCCCCTCTTTCCAGGCATGTTTGTGGTGATGGCGTTCGACGAAATCAGCACGGGGCTGGACAGCAGTGCAACGTACGACATCGTGTCAGCCATCCGCACCATCGCCCGCGTGCGCCACACCACCAACGCCTTCTCGCTGCTGCAGCCACCACCCGAAGTCTTCAACCTCTTCGACCGGTAGGGGGTTAAGGGGGGGGGGGGGAGGACGGAGGAGAGAGGAGAGAGGAGAGAGGAGAGAGGAGAGAGGAGAGAGGAGAGATGAGAGAGGAGAGAGAGAGAGGGGAAAGGAGTGGGGTAAGGACGAGGGCATGAGTAGGGGCGAGTGAGTGGGCGAGGTTGGAAGAAGGAAGGAAGGGAAGAGGAGGGACGGGCCATTGGGGGATGGTCTGTTGCCCTTGTTTCACATGCAAGGTGATGGTCCGCGGACCGCCACACCACCAACGCATTCTCGCTGCTGCAGCCCGCGCCCGAAGTGTTTAACCTCTTCGACCAGTAGGGGGTCGGGGGGGGAGGGAGAGAGGGTAAGGGAGGAGGGCAATGGAGCAGGGAGAGCAGAGGAGAAGAGGGATGGGGGGAAGGAAGGGGCAGTGGAGGCAGGGGAGTGAAGGAGCAACATGGGTAAAGGAGTAGGGGTGGTGTTATTATGGGTGGATGCGAGTGAGCAGGGACGGAGCAGAGACAGAGTTACAGGAGGAAGAAGTGCAGATGCCTATTGGGGTTTGCTCTCTCTCTCTCTCCTCCTCTTCGCCTCTCTCCTTCTGCTTCGTTTTTCCTGTTCCCTTCCTCCCCTTTCCCCTTGTTCTTCTTCCTCCTCTTACCCATCCTCTCAGTAGGCACGTCAAAGTCTTACTTTCCAGCTGTCTTCTGCCCTTCCCTCGTACTTCCTCCATGGGTGTGCCGTGTACGGGCAATATTGCTCAAGGGGATTCGCATCGTGTGTTGTTTATGTCGCCCTTCCTTCACCTGCTCTTTCCCCTCCCCCCCCCCCGACCCTTCCCACACCTTCCCACACCAGGGTGATAGTGCTGGGCGAGGGCAGCATCACCCTTTGTTTCGTTGCCATTACCCCACCTGCCGCCCCCCCCTGGCCCCCACCTTTGTGTGCCATTCCGGGTGATAGTGCTGACCGACGGCAGCATCATCTACCACCGGCCATGGGCCGAGTGGTTGAATTATAGTTTCGAGGCGCCTTGTAACCGGGCCTCTTAATCCGCCCTCGCCCCTCCGCCCCAACACCTTCCCCCCCCACACTTGTGTGTGCGTCAGGGTGATAGTGCTGAGCGAGGGCAGCATCATCTACCAGGGGCCTCGGGCCGACGTGCTCGCATACTTTGAGGGGCTGGGGTGAGTGTGTTGAGACACCTCAATGCCACCTGGGAAGTACTGGGGTGATTCCGGGTGGGTGATGAGGCATGATAGAGAGTGATAGGGAGTGATGGGGAGTGATGGGGAGTGATGGGGAGTGATGGGGAGTGATGGGGAGTGATGGGGAGTGATGGGGAGTGATGACTGCATGGATGGTTGGTGTCTGTGTCCGTGTAGGCATAGCAGCCTTCATTCAGAAGGATTGTCGTGTGAGTCCACTCGTTACCACTCGTAACCACTTTAAACCAATCCCCCCCCTCCCTCCCAACCCTCCCCCACCCTCCTCAGGTACCGTAAGCCTCCCCATGTGGACGTGGCGGATTTCATTCAGGAGATTCCAACAGAGTCAGGTGTGGAGTTTGTGGCACCTGGCGCCACCCACCTGAGCACAGCGCAGCTGGTTGAGGCGTACCGCAACTCGTGGCACTACAGGGACGTGATGCGCGTGGTGGAGGGGGAGAAGGTGAGGGGGTGTGTGTGTGTGGATGGGTGTGTGTGTGTGTGGGTGTGTGTGTGTGTGGGTGTCTGTGTGTGCGCTCCTGCGTGTGTGAGTGTGTGTGTGTGTGTGTGTGTGTGTGTGTGTGTGTGTGTGTGTGAGTGTGAGTGTGTGCGTGCGTGCACGCACATGCACACTTGTGGGAGCTGCCGGTGGAAGCATGCCACAGCTCGAGGCACTACAGGGATGTGATGCACGTGGTGCAGGGGGAGAAGGTATGCGTCCGTGCATGTGCACCGCATGTGCACCCCATGTGCACCCCATGTGCACCACATGTGCACTGCATGTGCACCACATGTGCATATGGCACATGCTCTTTCCCACCTGAGCACGCCGCAGCTCGTGGCACTACAGGGATGTGATGCGCGTGGCAGTGTGTGCGTGTGTGTGTGTCTGTGCGCGCTTGCGCATGTGTGTGTGCGCGTATACACGCGAATAGGCACAATGCGTACAATTGGCACTTGCATGTGTGTACACACGTTTTGTGTGGGCATATATTGCTCCAGAAACCCATGTCCCCGAATCTGACTGTACCTGTCTGTCCCCCTTCCCATCTGCAGCATCATGCCATCCATCCATCCCTTACCGTCCATCCTATGGCATCCATCCCATCCCATGCCACACACCACTAAATGCAATACCAACTAAGCTTGAGCGATGGTTCGACCCACCTTGACCCGACCCAACTTTGCTGGACCCGAGGTCGGGTCGGGTGGGGTCGGGTCAGGGTCGGGTCGACCCCAGCAATTTTCTGACCAGGCGTGCATGGTCGTCTGGGTGGATTGCAGGTGCAGCATCCACTTTTGAGACGACTCAGGTGGGGGGGACTCAGGTTTTAATGCGGCTGGGTGGGGGCGACTCAGGTTTTAATGCGGCTGGGTGGTGGGGGCGACTCAGGTTTTAAGGCAGCTGGGTGGTGGGGGCGACACAGCGGTCCAAATCTAGCTTTAGCCTGTGTCTCAATTCCCTGTGTTTTCCTGCCTCCCGTCCATCCCATCCCACACCACCCATCCCACACCACCCATCCCACACCACCCATCCCACACCACCCATCCCACACCACCCATCCCACACCACCCATCCCACCCCACCCATCCCACACCACTCATCCCACACCACCCATCCCACACCACCCATCCCACACCACCCATCCCACACCACCCATCCCACACCACCCATCCCACCCCACCCATCCCACCCCACCCATCCCACCCCACCCATCCCACACCACCCATCCCACACCACCCATCCCACACCACCCATCCCACGCCACCCATCCCACGCCACCCATCCTACGCCACCCATCCCATGCCACCCATCTCACGCCAACCATCCCACGCCACCACCAGGTGTGCAAGTCCGTGTGGGTGGAGGTGCAGCCCCCGATCGACTTGGGCTTCTCCCTCTCTGGTGACTCAGGTACATACATGCCATCATGCCATGAGGCCACGATGGCACGATGCATGCGACTTGGGTACATGCCATGAGGCCACGATGCATGCGACTCAGGTAGATGCCATGATGTCATGATGCCATGATGCCATGATGCCATGATGTCATGATGCCATGATGCCATGATGCCATGATGTCATGATGCCATGATGCCATGATGTCATGATGCCATGATGTCATGATGCCATGATGCCATGATGCCATGATGCCATGATGCCATGATGTCATGATGCCATGATGTCATGTTGTCATGATGTCATGATGTCATGATGCCATGAAGCCATGATGCCATGATGTCATGATGTCATGATGTCATGATGCCATGATGCCATGATGCCATGATGTCATGATGTCATGATGTCATGATGCCATGAAGCCATGATGCCATGATGTCATGATGTCATGATGTCATGATGCCATGATGCATGCAGGTGACCCAGCTCAAGCTCATGTCTATGCTCTCACAAGCCCAGCCCCTCCCTTCCCCCACTCCCCTCTCCCCCCCCCCTCCCTCCTCTTCCTACCCCCTCCTCCCCCCTGCAGTCACCGACTCAAGTGTGGCGGGCGGCCCACTGCCACCTCTCCCAGCCGGACATCACGTGCACTGACACGGTTCAGCAAGGGGACACTGTCACCGGGCTGGCACGTTATCTTCACACTCATGTCTCCTTCCCTCGCCCATCTTGCCTTCCTACAGTCGCAATCTCAAGTGTGCCGGCCCACTGCCAACTCTCCCTCCCAGCCAGACATCACATGCACTGACACGGCACTGGAAGGGGACTCATGTCTCCGGCCCGGCGTGAAATGGTCACACACTCATGTTCTCCCCCTCTAACCCCGTCCCTCCCCCTTCTCTCCCCCCCCTGCAGTCACCGTCTCAAGTGTGCCGGCCCACTGCCACCTCTCCCAGCCCGACATCACGTGCACTGACACGGTGCAGCAAGGGGACACTGTCACCGGGCTGGCGCTCCCAGGGGAGGTCATGCAGTATGCTAAGGCTGGGTGTGGGGGAGAAGGAGGAGGGGAAGGAGGGGGGAAGGGTGGGGATGGGGAGGGTTGTGTGAGCGCGGAGGTGCTGCAGAAGAGGCTGCAGGCAGCAACGGGTGGGGGGGCGGGGGGAGGAGAGGAGGGGGAGGGCGGGGATGCTGTGAGGCTTCAGCTGGAACGACCACTGGTGCAGGTGGGATGTGGGGGAGGTTGACGGTGGAGGGTGGTGGGGAGGGGTGGGATGCGGTGGAAGGGGAGGTGCGTGGGAGGGTGGGATGGCTGAGGAGCTTGAGGAAGAGTGTAGGCAAGATGTGAGAGTGAGAGCGGTTGAAAGGGAGGGGGAGAAAGCCAGAGTGGGGTAGGCAGGTAGGCAGAGAAAGGGGGGAGGACGGGAGATCACTCCATGGGGGGTCCCTCCATCTCCCCATCCCCCCGTGCTCCTTCACTTGTCTCTACCCCCCCCAACCCCCCCCCCCCCCCCACAGGAGGAGCTGCCAGCGCGTGCCAAGTTTGAGCAGTTGCACGCCATCCCCCAGTGGCCCAGCACCAAGCTGGTTGCGCCCTCCCACCCCCGCCCCCCCATGTCCCCCGGTCCCCCTCATGTACCATCTCTCCTCTATCTCCTCTTCCCACCCCCCTTTCCCACCCACAGGAGGAGCTGCCAGCGCACGCCAAGTTCGAGCAGGAGTACGCCATCCCGTGGTGGGCCAGCACCAAGCTGGTGGTGGCGCGGCAGTTCAAGGTCGCCACGCGCAACACCTCCTTCCTCATCGCGCGCGGCATGCAGGTACTGCCATGCGCGCGTCTGTGTATGTATGTGAGTGTGAGGGTGTGTGAGAGAGTGTGTGAGAGTGTGTGAGAGAGTGTGTGAGAGTGTGTGAGAGAGTGTGTGAGAGTGTGTGAGAGAGGGTGTGAGTGAGTGTGTGAGTGTGAGAGAGAGTGTGAGAGTGTCTGCTTGGTGGTTCAAGGTCACCACCCGCAACAACACCTCCTTCCTCATCACGCGTGGCATGCAGGTAAGCAACCCAGCGCCATGTGTAAGTCAAGTTGCCATCGCGTGTGCAGCGCCATGCATTCCCAGCATCACTGTGGCTCGACGTGCCTCAAAGCAGTATTCCCCTGCCCTTTCCCCGTTTCGCCCTGCCAGAAATCCTTCCCCAACCCCCACCCCTCCTCCCCAAACTCTCCCCCCCCGCCCCCCCCCCCACCTCCCCCTCAGGTGCTGATCCTGGGCATATTCACGCGGGCACTGTGTTCTTCCGCATCCCCAACACCATCTCCACGCCCACCATGCAACTCACTCCCTCCTCTTGCCCGCCCTCTACCCCCCACCCCACCCTCCGTTCTTCCTTCCCATTCCCCCCCCATTCCCCCCCCATTCCCCCCCCATTACCCCCCCCCCTTCAGGTGCTGATCCTGGGCATATTCACGGGCACTGTGTTCTACCGCATCCCCAACACCATCTCCACGGCCACCATGCAGCTGCGCCTCTCCATCGCCTTCGCCGCCACCATGGCGCTCGCTCTGGGGGGCTTTGCGCTCATCCCCAACATCATCGATGAGCGGCAGGTGGTGGAGAAGCAGATGGGCGCGCGGTTCTACCGCTCGAGCTCCTATGTCATCGCCAGCACCATCTGCAACCTGCCGTTTTCGCTGGCTGAGGTGAGCGGGGGAGGCAGGGAGGGCGGGTTATGAATTGGGGGTTGGCAGGAGGAGGCTCATCCCCAACATCATCGACGAGCAGCGGGTGGTGGAGAAGCAGATGGGCACACGGTTCTACTGCTCGAGCTCCTATGTCATCGTGAGCACCATCTGCAACCTGCCTTTCTCACTGGCTGAGGTGAGAGTCGAGGAGGGAGAAAGAGGGGAAATGGGGGATCCGAGATGTTTGAGTTGACTTGTGTGGGTAAGCTCCTTGGTCCTTGCCGGCACCATCTGCAACCTGCCGTTTTCAGCTCTCGGCCGCTTCTGTCAAGTGCTGACCCACTGCCCTCTTGTGTACTGCCTGACTGGCTTGTATTCAGGGTTGACTTGTATCAGCCTTTCCAAATCTCTCCTCTTTCCCCAAGCTTTCCTCCCTCTACCGCTACCTGCAGGTGCTGATCTACGGCCCTCTGGTGTACTGGCAGCCTGATGGGCATGAGAGGTGGACTCATGGATTTTAAACATCCACAGCTCTCCTCTTTCCCTCCCACTACCACTACCTGCAGGTGCTGATCTACGGCCCTCTCGTGTACTGGCTGACGGGCATGAGCGCAGCGGATGGCGCGTCCCACTTCTTCCTCTTCCTGCTGCTGCTGCTCGCAGTGGACGTCATGGGCGCCACGCTCATCCGCCTCGTCGCCTCCGTCAGCACCTCCAGGGAGATGGCGTCGAGCCTCGCAGGTAAGGCAGTGCAGGTACTGTGTGTGAGCCGGTATTGCTACTGTCTTTCGCATGCAGGTGCTATGGGTGAGCCATGCTGCTGGCAGGAGCAGTGGGTGTCATGGGCGCCATGCTCATCCGCCTCATCGCTTCCGTCAGCACGTTCAGCGAGATGGCCTCCAGCATCGAAGGTACGAGCAGCCTCGCAGGTACTGCCAGCACTGCAGGTACTGCCAGCACTGCAGGTACTGCCAGCACTGCAGGTGACCCCCGTCTCCCCCTTATTGCCAGGACTGGTCACCTTGCTGCTCTTCCCAGGCTTCCTGTGTTGAGTTGAGGCTCCTCAAAGAAGCTCCCCTCCATCTTGACCATCCGTGCCTTCCTCCATCCACGCCCCCTCACCCTCCTCTCCCCCCGTCCTGCCAGGTCTGGTGGTGATCACCTTTCTGCTCTTCACGGGCTTCCTGCTGACCAAGCCCAACATCCCCGCGTGGTGGATCTGGATGTACTACGTCAACCCGCTGCAGTACGGCGTCACCGCCATCTGCATCAACGAGTTCCTCTCGGGCTCCTACAACGAGGTCAGTGGTCCGTAGTGTGTTGTTGTGTGTATTGTGTGTAGCTTTGAAAGGGTTCAGTGCATTGTGCTGGCAAGGGGGGAAATGCTTTGGAAGCCCATCCCACCTGCCATTTCCGTTTGGTAGGGCTGTGCTGTGCAGTGGGTGGGGTGGGGGGGATGTAAGTGCTCTGCATCGTTGTAAGGTTGTATCTTCGTTACAAGCCTCAAAGCTGTATCACCAATCTCTGGCTACTCATCCGACTCCCTTCCTCTCCCGTCCCCACTCTCTCCCTCCCCTCCTCACGCTCCCTTCAATCTCCCACACTCACACTCCCTCGCTCCCCCCCGCACAGCCCTGCAGCACAGTCAACACCACCACCGCGGCCTTCTGTCTCAACAAGCCTGGCAGCACCACAGCCGGAGAAGCCTTCTTACAGTTCTTCGGAATGCCCTCCTCCTTCGGTGCCGTCTGGTACTCCCTCGCCGCTCTCCTGGGATTCACTGCCCTCTTCATCTCCCTCACCTTCCTCGCTGTTGCTCGCATTCGGTTCAACGAGAATAAGACGCCGCCCGCCAGCCGCCTGCCGCCCCGGCCGCCCCAGCGGAACGTGTTTCAGAAGGCGGTGCGGGCGGTGAAGAAGCAGATGTCATCAGAGGAGAAGGGGAAAGAGGAGGAGGAGGGGGGCGAGGCGGAGGAAGCAGAGGCAATGATCGAGAGGGATGCCGCTGCTGCTGAGCCTGCTGCTGCTGATGGTGCGGAGGAGGATGGAGGGACGAAGGCGGCCCCTCAGTCACGAGTCAAATTCACGCCAACTACTCTGTCCTTCCACGACCTGCTCTACGAGGTGTGCAGCGCGCTTGCTAAGGGACATCTAGGAAACAGAAATCTCTTCTCCAGTCAGTTGCGAGTGCAGTTCACTCCGACCACTCTTCTGGAATGGTCTTTTCACGGCCCCCTGTACGAGATGTGCTCGTTTTGAGACATGGAGAAAAAAGGTCGTACTCGCGCACTTCCCTCGTTCTCGAGTGAAGTTCGCTTCGATCACTCTGGCCTTCCTCTGCCTGCTCTATGAGGCGAGCTTGTGGTTTCTGGGGCGCCTCAAGAGGACGCAGCCCAGCTCAGCCCCCAGTTAAAGTCCACTCCGGCCACCCTGTCCTTATTTGTCTTGCTCTATTAGGTCAGAAGGTGCTGCTGCTGGTGCTGCTGCTGGTGCTGCTACTGCTGCTGCTGCTGCTGCTGCTGCTGCTGCTGCTGCTGCTGCTGCTGCTGCTGCTGCTGCTGCTGCTGCTGCTGCTGCTGCTGCTGCTGCTGCTGCTGCTGCTGGCTGCTGCTGCTGCTGCTGCTGCTGCTGCTGCTGCTGCTGCTGCTGCTGCTGCTGCTGCTGCTGCTGCTGCTGCTGCTGCTGCTGCTGCTGCTGCTGCTGCTGCTGCTGCTGCTGCTGCTGCTGCTGCTGCTGCTGCTGCTGCTGCTGCTGCTGCTGCTGCTGCTGCTGCTGCTGCTGCTGCTGCTGCTGCTGCTGCTGCTGCTGCTGCTGCTTCTGCTGCTGCTGCTGCTGCTGCTGCTGCTGCTGCTGCTGCTGCTGCTGCTGCTGCTGCTGCTGCTGCTGCTGCTGCTGCTGCTGCTGCTGCTGCTGCTGCTGCTGCTGCTGCTGCTGCTGCTGCTGCTGCTGCTGCTGCTGCTGCTGCTGCTGCTGCTGCTGCTGCTGCTGCTGCTGCTGCTGCTGCTGCTGCTGCTGCTGCTGCTGCTGCTGCTGCTGCTGCTGCTGCTGCTGCTGCTGCTGCTGCTGCTGCTGCTGCTGCTGCTGCTGCTGCGCCCTTTCCAGAAGGAACGCTGTTCACACCCTGTGCTGCTTCCTTCCATCCCTCTCCTCACTGCTCATCTCGCCCTTGCTCTGAAGCACCTGTGCGCCTGTAATCACCTCCCAACCGTCTCTGCCACCTGCCCCTCCAGGTGGACGGTACCGGGAATGAGTAAGCCCAAGGTGCTTTGGGGCTCTTTAAATCACATGCCACCCATCCCATCCCTTGTGCCCACTATCCTACCCATCCCATCCCTTCCCACCACCTCTTCTCTCCCACCCCTTCCCACCACCTCTTCTCTCACACCCCTTCCCACCACCTCCTCTCTCCCACCCCTCCCACCACCTCTGCTCTCCCACCCCTCCCCCCAGGTGGACGTACCGGGCATGAGTGAGCCCAAGGTGCTGCTCAACAGTGTGTCTGGCTTCGTGCGCCCTGGCACCATGACTGCCCTCATGGGCTCCTCAGGTATCTCTCCTGTGCACTCCATAGCACGGTGTTGACTCAAAAGTGCGCCCTGCCTCCATGACTGCCGTTATGGGCTCCTCAGGTCTCTCTCCCGTGCACTCCATAAAGTGCGGGGTGACTTTTAAAACGACTCAAAAGTGTGCCCTGGCACCGTGCATGCACTCTCCTGGGCTCCCCAGGTAATTTTCACCCATGCACTCTCCTTTCCACTTGACCACTCCTCATCCCCTTGCCCTCTCTCTTTTTCCCCCCCATTCCGCATACCCCTCTCTCTCTCCCCTTCGCCCACATCCCCTTACCTCTGACTCCTCCCTGTCCATCCTCCCACCCTTCCCTCCCCTCCTTTCTTGGTCACCACCTTTCATCCTGCTCCCTTGCCCCCCTCTTCCTTCCCCTCCCCCCTCTCCCCAGGCGCGGGCAAGACAACCCTGCTGGACGTGCTGGCGGGGCGCAAGGCCATCGGGCGCACCGAAGGTGACATGTTCACTCTGTCTCCCTTCTCTCCCTTGTCTCTCCCTTCTCCACTCCCCATTTCCCCCCCCCTGCTCGTTCCCCAGGCGCGGGCAAGACAACCCTGTTGGACGTGTTGGCGGGGCGCAAGACCATCGGGCGCACCCGGGGGGACATCCTGGTCAACTCCTTCCCCAAAGTGCAGGCCACGTTCGCCCGCATCTCCGGGTACTGCAGCTCATGCACTAGCCCTCTGCTCTCTAGCTTCGCTGCTCATGCTCCCTTTCTGCTCCCTACCTGCGCCAGCTCTGCCCCTTCACTGTGGTGCCTTGAATCTTTCACCCACTCTGCTGCCCGTGTGTGCTATCCTCCCTGTGCCAGCTATGTGGAGCAGAGCGACATCCACACTCCCTTCATCACCATCCGCGAGTCGCTGCAGTTCAGCGCCGCTCTGCGCCTGCCCTCCACCACCTCGCCCGCTGACAGGGCGCTCGTGGTGCAGGAGGTGCGTTAAGGCATCACGTGGGTGGAAACGGTGTGGGTGTGAGTGTAAGGGCATAGGTGCACAGGAGGGAGGGATAGGTGTTTGTGGCACCGGGCATGCCGCTCTGCGCCTGCCCACCACCACGTCGCCTGCTGACAGGGCGCTCGTGGTGCAGGAGGTGAGACAGATGGTTCTGATACCATGGGTTGCATGAGTTCGGCCGCATTGGCATGGGTGCTTGGGTGGGCTGAGGTTGCTGCTGCGGCTCTGCGCCTGCCACCGCCACCTCTGCTGCCGACAGGGCGCTCGTGCCGACAGGCGATGAGGGTAATTACGTGGGTGGCATGAGTACTTGGGTGGGCCTAGGCTGCTGCGGTGCCCTGCCTGCCGCCACCTCGCCTGCAGACAGGGTGCGCGTGGTGCAGGAGGTGCGGGCGATGGCATGGGTGGCATGAGCGGATTGGCATTGGTGCATGGGTTCATGGGAGCATGGACGCATGGGGTGGTTGTGTGGTTGTGGAACAGAGAACGCGGCTCTGCGCCTGCCCGCCACCGTCTCGCCCGCTGACAGGGCGCTCGTGGTGCAGGAGGTGCGAGTGATGGTGCTGGTAGGTGGGTGACCTCAACCCTTTGATTTCCTTCTTGCTCCACCCTCCCCCCCCTCAACCCACTTTTTCTACTTCCGTTGACTGCCAGGCCAGGCCATGGACCTGCTGGAGCTGCACAACATAGCGGACACGCTGGTGGGCGGAGCAGGCCCACACCCGCTCTCATCCTTCTCCTCTTTCCTTCCTTCCCTTCCCCACCCCCCCTCCCCCTCCCCCTCCCCCTCCCCTCCCCTCCCAGGCCATGGACCTGCTGGAGCTGCACGACATAGCGGACACGCTGGTGGGGTTCATCGGCATCAATGGGCTCACAGCATGGTGGAACGCGCCCACTCTCCCGCTCCCCCCCTCCCTTACCCCTACCCACTTGCCTTGCTCCCCGGCCCTCTCCTCCCTCCACCCCTCCCCTCCCGCTCCCCTCCTCTGTCCCCCCTGCCAGGCCATGGACCTACTCGAGCTGCGTGACATAGCGGACACGCTGGTGGGGCTCATCGGCATCAACGGGCTGACTGTGGAGCAGACCCATACCCAAGCCCCCTGCATTCCCCCCTGCCTCTTGCTTCCCTCTCCGCCCTTTTCCCTCCCCTCCCCTGCCAGGCCATGGACCTGCTGGAGCTGCACGACATAGCGGACACCCTAGTGGGGTTCATCGGCATCAACGGGCTGACAGTGGAGCAGGCGAAGCGGCTGACCATAGGCGTGGAGCTGGTGGCCAACCCCAGCGTGCTCTTCCTGGACGAGCCCACCAGTGGGCTGGACAGCCGCGCTGCCGACATTGTCGTGCGGGGAATCAGGAACATTGCTGGCACAGGGAGGAGGTGAGGGAAGGAGGTTGAAGGAGGGGGGGGGATTGGGGGGGGGGGCGGCGGAAGGGAGGGATGTCGGGGGTAGTGGAGGAAGGGGAGGAAATAGAGGAGGGAGTGTGAAGGTGAGTGTGAGGGAGAGGGAAGGAGGTGAGAGTGGCGGCTGACGATAGGCATGGAGCTGGTGGCGAACCCCAGCGTGCTGTCCCTGGACGAATCCACCAGCGGGCTGGAGAGCCGCGCTGCTGACATTGTCTTGCGGGGAATCAGAAACATTGCTGGCACCAGTAGAAGGTGAGGTGGAGCGGAGGGAGGGAGGGAGGGAGGGAGGGAGCATTCCCTGTCAGAAAGTGGCAGTCGCCATAATAGCCCCTCGCTCCCCAATTTCCGTTCCCCCCAACTCCGCTCTCCTTTCGCCACCCTCTCTGCCCAATGTCATCTACACTCTTTCCAATCTTACCCACTCTCCGCCCTATACCACCCACTCTCCCTCCCCACCCCCCGCAGCACCATCTGCACGATCCACCAGCCGAGCCGGCGGCTCTTCTTTGCGTTTGACTGGCTGTACCTCATGAAGCGCGGGGGCGAGGTCGTCTACTTCGGCCCCATCGGCCACAACGGCTGTGACCTCCTGGTGGGTTGCATGCGGTGCTGGTGGGTTGAATGTGGTTATTGGGGGGTTGTGGCCTTGCGGGCGGATTGATTTACCCACAGTGTGCGTTGATTTTGTGCCAAAATCCTCCCTCTTATGTCGGAAATATCCCCTCAAGTGATTCTCCCTTCCCCTCGCTCCTGCCTTTCGTCTGCACTTCCTTCCTACTTCTCCCCCCCCGTTTCCCAACCCTTCTCCCTCTCCCTCAACCTCCCTTCTCCCACACCCTCCACTCCTACCCCCTCACCCCCCTCTCCACAGAGCTACTTCGAGTCCTTGCCTGGCCTGCCCAAGTGCCGGGACGACCAGAACCCTGCTACCTGTAAGTGCACCTCCTCCCGTCTACGCTCCCCCCACTTTCCTCCTCTCCTGCACTCTTGCTCCCCCTCTCCACCCCTCTACCTCCCCGCCCCCCACCCACCCCACCCCTCTCTTCTTTTCTCTCCCAATCCGCCCCCTCCACCCATTTCGCACTCTCACATCCCCTTCTCTCCTTCGTAGTAATTGTGCCTCAACCATAGGAACCAGGTGCACTCGTCCCTCTGCCCGTCCCCTACCCCTCCTCCCCCCCTACCTCCCCCTCCCCTTGGTTAATCCACCGCTGTCAACGTGTGTTGTGGCAGACATGCTGGAGATGATAGGGGCAGGCATAGGCCATGCGTCCATGCGCGACTTTGCGCTGGACTACGCGGAGAGTGTACTCGCAGCAGACAACCGTGAGTTGCTTCCCCTGCTTACATTGCTTCCTTGCTTGCTGACCATGCATCCATGCATCCATGCATCCATGCATCCATGCATCAATGCATCCATGCATCCATGCATCCATGCATCCATGCGTCCATGCGTCCATGCATCCATGCGTCCATGCATCCATGCGTCCATGCATCCATGCATCCATGCGTCCATGCATCCATGCATCCATGCATCCATGCATCCATGCATCCATGCGTCCATGCGTCCATGCATCCATGCATCCATGCATCCATGCATCCATGCGTCCATGCGTCCATGCATCCATGCATCCATGCATCCATGCGTCATCCATGCATCCATGCGTCCATGCATCCATGCATCCATGCGTCCATGCGTCCATGCATCCATGCGTCCATGCGTCCATGGGGGGCTTTGCTCTGGACTATGCGTTGCTCCTTCGTTCTTCCTCGCGCATCCTCCCTTGTTCGTTTCCACTGCACCTTGTTTTGTCTCTCTCGCTGTAGTAACACTCTCTATAGTTCGTTAGACATCCGTCCTCGTCTATTCACAACTTTCCTTTCCACATGTCACCACTCTCCTCTCCCTGCTTACTTCCCATCCCACCCCCAGAGGACCAGCTGGATGCCATTCGCTATGGCAAGGGCGAGTACGGCCCGGAGCCGTCGGTGCGCGGGTATGCGGCGTCGTGGGGCACGATGACGCGCATGGTGTTCCTCAGGCAGTTCCACACGTACTGGCGCAACGTGTCCTACAGGTGCTTGCCTGGGTGGTTGGTGGGCGGGAAGTCTAGGCAGTACGGCCCTGAGCCCTCGGTGCAGGGGTATGCAGCGTTTTGGGGCACAATGAGTGGCGGGGCACGATGACGCGCATGGTGTTCCTGCGCCAGGTCCACACCTACTGGCGCAACGTGCCCTACAGGTGGGTGGGTGCATGGGTGCATGGGTGGATGGGTGGGTGGGTGGGTGGGTGCGTCGTGGGTGAGCCACCTTGCTTCGACACGTCACAAAACAAGCGTATGGGCTTGAGCCCGTGGCAAATACTGATGTACTGTTGATTCGCTTTGTGCAGACTGAGAGTGAGAGTGAGAGAGTGAGAGTGAGTGAGAGTGAGAGTTTAGCATCCCCCTCCCTGTCACCCTACGGCCCTCCCCTCCCCACCAACACAGCTTTGGGCGGATCATGTTCTCCATCATTCTTGGGCTCATTCTCGGCAGTGCCTTCTGGCAGGTGGGTGGGCGAGGGGGGCAGGGTGAGGGTGGGTGGGGGAAAGTCGAAGGGGGGGGGTATGGGAACATGCCAGAGGCTTCATTATGGAAGCATGGGATGAAACTACACATAGCATATGGGATGTGGTACGTCTGTGGTGCACTGCCACATGGGGTGATGCACTGCCACGTGGTGTGATGCACTGCCACGTGAGGTGATGCACTGCCATGTGGTGTGGTGCACTGCCACGTGGTGTGGTGCACTGCCACATGCTGTGGTGCCCTGTCACATGCTGTGTGACCCTCTTCCTCCCCCAAGAGCTATACCCTCCTTGTACTGTCAGGATGTTTCACCCCCAAACAAAATTACACCGCCCTCCATCCTTTCCTCTCACCCCCATGCTCTGTCTCCCTCTCACCCCTCGTCCCCCTCTCTTCCCTCTCTCCTTTTCCCCATCTCTCTCCCCCCTGTCTTCCCCCCCCAGATCAACTACACCACCATACCCGGCTTCGCATCCCGCCAGGGCCTCATCTACGTGGCTCTGGTTTTCGTTGCTGTGGTCAACGCCAACAACGTCATTCCGCAGGTACAGGGATAGAGTCACATTGATAAAGTCACATGGATAGAGTCACATTGATAAAGTAACATGGATAGAGTCACATTGATAAAGTCACATGGATGGAGTCACATGTCTCATGTCCTCTTGGTTACAGTTTCATCTCGCATGTAACGTTGCAGGTTCCAGAAACAGACCATATGCTTTCCCGTCCCGGCCAACATTGTCCCCTCCCCATTCCAGGTGAAAACGCCCAACATGTACTCTGCGTTGCTGTGATGTTGGAGTCAACTCAGCTCAGCATCACTCCAACTCCCCTCATTACCCACTCCCACCCTGCCCCCTCCCCCCTCCCCCCTCCCCTCTCCCTTCCTCTCCAGGTGAATAATGAGCACCCTGTGTACTACCAAACAAGGCGTTCAACATGTACTCTGGGTTCCTGTGACATCTGAGTCGACTCATAAGAAACCTAAAACGCCCCCCTTCCCCCCCATTCCCCCCACACAGGTACATGCTGAGCGGCCTGTGTACTCTCGGGAGAAGGCGTTCAACATGTACTCTTGGTTCCTGTGGCGCCTGAGCCCCCCTCTCCACTCGTCAGTCACCTAGTAGCCCCTTCCCCTCCTCCCTGGCTCCCCTCCCCCCCACACAGGTGAACGCAGAGCGGCCTGTGTACTACCGAGAGAAGGCGTCCAACATGTACTCCGCGTTCCTCTACAACCTCTCCTGGGGACTTATAGAGGTGCGTGGGGAGGGGGGGGAAAAGAGCAGGGGAAGAGGTGGAGAAGGGCGCAGAGCAGACAGGCTTGTAAAAGGAGAGTGGGTGGGTGTTCCAGCAGCGGTTGGCTTTAGAGAAAGCATGCAACATGTACTCTGCGTTCCTTTACAACCTCTCCTCCCCAGGAAGGGACTCATAGAGGTGCGTGGGGGAAGGGTTTAAGTAAGCAGGCTTGAGATGAGATGACGGAGAGCAAGTGGCCTCGAGGCGACTCAAAAGTCCCATCTCGGTCCGTGCCCTCTCCCAATGCCCCAACCCATTGCCCCCCCTGACAACCCCAGATTCCCTACCTGGCGGCGCTGGTTGCTGACCAAGCTCGCCTTCTGCAGGTTACAATCATCTCTTTCTCCGCCATCGGCCTCTCTCCCCCGCCACCCCAGATGCCCTACCTTGCACTGATGACGCTCATCTTCTGCCTTTCCTAACCAGCTCATTTGTCCGCCCTTGACTCCCTTCCCTCCCCCCACTCCTCCCCCCCAGATGCCCTACCTGGCGCTGACGACGCTCATCTTCTGCCTTTCTTTTCACTCATTAGTCCGCCCTTGCATGCCTGCCCTCCTCCATCCGTCCTCCCCGCCCCCCCCCAGATGCCCTACCTCGCGCTGACGACGCTCATCTTCTGCAGCATCTGCTTCGGCATGGCGGGCGTGGCCACGGGCAGCGCTAGCGACTTCTTCCTCTTCTGGGTCAACTTCTTCCTCTACTCCGCGTGCATCACCTACTATGGCATCTTCATGGCCATGCTCACGCCCAACGCCGAGGTGCGTGCATGTGCTGTGGTGTGTGGCTAGTTGGTGCTCTGGGTGCGTATACATGTGCGGCCACGTCTTTCTCCCCTTCAAACTTCTTCCGCTATCCTGCATGCATCACCTACTATGGCATCTTCATGGCCATCCTCACGCCCAACGCTGAGCATGTGTGTTGATGCGTGGGTGCTCTGGCATGTGTGTGTATGCAAGCGGGCACGTGTTTGTCCTCCGCTCCGGATGCATCATGCACTGTAGGATATTTATGGTCATGCATCCATGCTCATGCCCAACGCTGAGGTGGGAGCATACGTGTCAGCGAATTAGGCGGTTGGTGTGTTGCTGCCCCACGTGTGTGTGTACGTGGGGGCATACACGTGCTCGTCCTCTTCTGGGTCAGCTTCTTCCTCTACTCCGCGTGCGTCACCTACCACAGCTACCACAGCATGTTCACGTAAGTGAGATCACACATACCTCCACTCGTTGCAGGCAGAGGTGCAGGATGATGACTCACCCTATCCTCCCTCTCCCCATCCCTCGTTCCCCATCTCCCCCCCTCCGGACTGCCACTGTGATCATTCCCGTTATAGTGAACATCTGGAACATCACATCGGGCTTCATGATCCCCAAGGCCCACATCCTCAGCTGCTTCTCCCTCCATTTGAACCCCCCTTTCTCCCCCCCTTTCTCCCCCTTTTTCTCCCCCCCCCTCCCCCCTTCCAGACGGCCACTGTGATCATCCCCGTTATAGTCAACATCTGGAACATCACATCGGGCTTCATGATCCCCAAGACCGAGATCCCCGGCTTCTGGGTGTGGCTGTACTACCTCAACCCCACCCAGTTCGCCCTCAACTCTCTCCTCTCCGTCGCCTTCTACTGCGACACCACCACCCCCGGCGCCCCTTGCGCTGTTGCCGGCTGCTCTAACAACCCGGCTGTCTGTCCCAGCTGCACATGTGCTCGGCTCTCGGATCAAGGGGATGTGCTGGTGTGGAGTGTGGCAGAGCCACAGCGGTCGCTGAATAGAGGCAATGTGGGGTACAATGTGCTCGCGCTGCTGGCTTTTATTGTCGTGTTCAGGGGGGGGGCGTATCTCGGGCTGCGCTTTATCAAGTATAACCGGCGCTAGGTGGGGCGCTGGAGTGGTGTAGTAGTAGCGTAGCTGGTGCGGTGGATGTGGGATTGGGAGGTGCGTGGGGAATGGAGTAGAGTAGATGTGGAAGACTGGGGTCCATGGGGGGTCAAAAGGCTTATGTGCTTCATGGAAATAAAGCTTAGTATAGCTGCTTTGTTGATAGGTTGGTTGGGCTGTAGGAGCACCAATATGGCAATCAGTGTGTCCACCTTGTTTCCATTTATTTAGACCAGTTAGCCCTTGCCTCGTAATCCTCTATCTAGGCCAGGGCTCAAATTAGCCGGGTAAAATGCCCTGATTGCCCTGATTTTTCAGGGCATTTTTTCATTTGGTCTTAAAAATCAGACTTACGAAATTTATTACCCTGATCCAAAAAGTGTTACGAAAATATTACCCTGCCGAAACTAGGGTTGCGGGGCCCCGAACCCTGACCCTTCAGGGCGTCCTGAAAACTACCCTGGTATCGAAACTCCGAGATTCCGACTAAGTCCTTGGCGGCCAGAAACATTTCCCCCAAAACACCCTGCAACCAAAAATTTCGACGAAGTCCCTGGCAGCCAGAGTCATTCCTCCCACCCCACGCACCATGCAAGCCAGCAATTTCGGCTAAGTCGTAGCCAGAGTCATAGCTCCCTCACCCCCTCGCAACCCAGAAATGGCTAAGTCCCCCACAAGAGACATGCCTCCCAACCACACCCCCGCTACTTTTTTTTTTTTTCGCTAAGTCCTCCACACCACAGCAAGACACGTCACGTCGTATACGCCCTTCTGACACCCAACCAATCACGAGCAGATGGTTTTTTTCCCGCCCCTCTGCCGCCCATGTAAATCTGATTCCCCTCTCGCGCCCCAGAATCGTTTTCCGTCCCATCCCATCCCCCAATCTCCCCCAGCACGCGCAAATCCGCTACACCCTTCTTTCCACACCTCAGTGCAGCCCACTTCATTCATGTAAAATGTTCCTTAAATGGCCAAGGCTAGAAAGGGTGCAAAGAGTTCTACACTTGAAGCAAAGACTTCGAATTTTTTTACCCTGCCAAATCAGACTTTGAATTTTTTTAGCTCTGACCGTCAGGGCGTTTTTTTTTTCCTACTCTGATCTCAAAGAGTGGCCTAAAACCAATTTTGGGCCCTGATCTAGGCCAACTTGTATGGTATGAACTTTGCATGCATGTGTGGATATACCGTATTCCCCCAGATAATGGACCCGCCGGTAAGAAAGTCCATGGGTCCTTTACCCGGGGGTGGGATCATTTATTTTGGCTGACCTCGTGAGGACCCGCTTTTTGACATTTATTAACATTTCAAGACCCCCCAGTTTTGTTTTCGTGTTGGTTTTTGCACTGTAAGTTTTACTGAAATGAAGCGGTACATGAAATCAGGGATGGCAGATTCACTGTAACTGGACCCTCGTCCTTGCAGCAGGGGTGATGGCAGTCAAAATGCCATATGAGAAAATTTTTGTAATGAAAAATTTACAGATTGTGATTCGACTAGAAGAGGAGTTTGCTGTAAAGGAGACAAACTCCTTCATCTATCGGCAGGTCTTTCAGACCTGCCACCTAGTCTCATTTGCATTTTTCTGTTCCAACTCTTAGAAACTTAGGACTCAAGGTTCTTAAACTTAGGAGGCTAGGTTGGCTAGGATACTAGGAAGAAGGCCGCCATGGAATAGCGTGAGGAAAAACGGATCTAGGAAGGGAGAGAAGAAAGTGGGTTGGATTAGGAAGAGAGGGGAGTACAAGGAGGGGTTTGTACCCCCTACAGAAAGGTTCAGTAACAACCTACCAAGCCTATATTAAATTATAACTTATATAATTTTAACACACCCCCTAGGCTTGGTAGTGTCAAGCCCACGCACACCCCCACACCCACACCCACACCCACACCCCCTAGCCCAGCACCCCCATTCCCAGCAGGAGCCGCAACGACTCCGGAAGAGGGTAGGTCTCACGGCCCCTTGAGACGGCAATGGCGGCAGCAGCGACAGTGACGACGGCGGCGGCGGCGGCGGTGTGCGGCGGCTCCAGGCCTGCGGCAACAGCGGCGGCGCCGGCGGCTCGAACGACAGAGGCTGGTGCGGCGGCCCCCGCCCTCTCGGCGGCATGTCCTGTCTCCTCGGCGGTGGAGAGGTCCCTCACATGGCAGTCATCGGCTGCAGCAAGAAAGGGGGGGATGCAGGGGAAGCAGGTGCAGGTGGGGGGGGGGGAGGGGAGGGGGCGGGGCGAGGCGAGTCTTCAGCGACGCGCCATAAGTGGCGCGGCGCTTACTGGCAGGAGGGCGGGCAGGTGGCGGTTACGACGGCGTGCTGCCCGCTGCCGCCCATCCACGCTGCCGCGGCAGCATGACGACGCCGCCAGGGCGCGGCGTCGACGCTGTGGCGGCACGCCGACGCTGCAACGGCAGCAAGGTGACGCTGCCACGGCAAAGCGTCGACGCAACCGGCTGCGGCCCGACGGCGCCGTCGACGCTGCAGCAGGACGTCGACGTCGCGACGGCAGAGGCAGCGTCGATGCCGCAGCGGGACGTCGACGCTGCGACTGCAGAACGACGGCCCGACGCCACGGCAGCGCGTCGAGCCGGTCGCGGCACGACGCGGCCAGTGGCAGCGCGACGTCGCCACTGCAGCAAAACGCGGCCGCCATGGCCGCTCGAGCTAATGAGAGTGAGGAGTAAATTGCGGAAGCGTGAGGAGGCGATCCAACAGGGAGGATCTCCTGCTCTGATACCATCTAGGAACTTAGGACTCAATGTTCTTAAACTTAGGAGGCTAGGTTGGCTAGGATACTAGGAAGAAGGCCGCCATGGAATAGCGTGAGGAAAAACGGATCTAGGAAGGGAGAGAAGAAAGTGGGTTGGATTAGGAAGAGAGGGGAGTACAAGGAGGGGTTTGTACCCCCTACAGAAAGGTTCAGTAACAACCTACCAAGCCTATATTAAATTATAACTTATATAATTTTAACACTAGCATGGCCGCTCAGCCTTGTTCCCTTGCCATGTATTTGCCCTATCTAGTGTGCTGTATTATGGAGCTATGATATGCTATGACGACTGCACTGCACACTCCTCTGAGGTCGTGTCACAATCACGTCACGTCAGCACGCGAAAACTTGCAGCCGTCGCTGCTGGAAATTTGACGCGTCATTCAGGTGGCACGGAAAGATGACGATTCCGCGGTACAAATATAACTCCCTATGTAGAAAGGTTGTACATCCAGAACAATAGACACTCAAGTGTAAAATACGTGAACATGGGTCCTATTAATTTACGTCCGCGTTAATGTCCACCTAGACACTTTTTAATGTAATTCTAAGAAGACCATAGGGTCCAATAGCCAGGGGATTACGGTACGCCCACCCTTGTTTGGCAGTTCATGCCAGGTGTAAAGGGTATGAAATAAGCAGCAATAATAGAAATGTATTCCACCAATCAGAAGCAGAGAGCTATCAGAATAATTGAATAATCGTAAAGTGAGAGTACACACAAATATATCTAAGTTTTGTATCCTCTAAGAGGTGACTCTATACAGTCTATACAAACATGACAAATACACATGTTTGACACACCCCCTAGACTGCATAGGGGAATACCCTAAACAAGCAGCTCAGGGCGGCACTACTAGTCCAACCTCTAAGGCAAGGGTCTGAGCGACCGGTCAGAAGGAGTACAGACAAGGCAAGCACAAGAGCAGGGCGGCACTACTAGTCCAGCCACTGGGAGAGGACACAAGTCCAGTCTGAGTATACATATAAAGGACAGTACAAAGTCAAGGTCCTAGCAAGTGAGAGGCTACAGGAACTAGACCAAGCTGTACACAGTGCCGCTGATGATCTTTAGGTGCAAGCGCCTTCGTAAAGATATCAGCTGTGTTGGCACCTGAGGCCAAGTGTACTACGCGAGCCTGACGTCGCTGCTGTAGCTCACGCAGGAGGAAGTACCGCAGCTGAATGTGCTTCGCTCTGCCCTCGAGTCGAGGCTCCTGACACAGGAGGATCATGGCCCTGTTGTCAGCGAACAGGACCGGGGCAGAGCTAGGCCGCTCACCTAAGTCAGTGAGCAAGAAGGTCAGCCAGCGGAGCTCCTGTGCCGCCATGGCACCGGCGTAGATCTCAGCCTCACAGCTGGACTGTGCAACAGACGAGGAGCGAGTAGCTCTCCACGAGACGGCACCTGAGCCAAGGCTGAAGCAGTAGCCCTGGGTAGACCGGAGTGTCTCAGCGTCGTCTGCCCACGAAGCGTCTGTGTGCCCAGTAAGGACCGCTGGCCTGCGTCCTCCTAGCACTAACCCCATGCCCGATGTACTAGCAAGATAACGCAGAACCCTCTTAGCGGCAGACCAGTGCTGCGGTCGGTGTCTGCCTGTGGCCACAAAGCGAGCCAGGATGCTGAGAGGGTATGCGAGATCTGGGCGAGTGCAAGTCATCAGGTACATGAGGCAACCCACCAGCTCTGCGTAGGGGCCGCTGGGCTCTACCAACTCCTCAGGCACTGGAGCGGAGAGCCTGTGGTCTACAGGCAGAGGGGTGGGCTGTGCAGAGGAGAACTGAAGGCTGAACCTCTGAAGGACCTGGCGCACCAAGTGTGACTGAGTCAGGGTGATGGTGCGCGCAGCTCTGTCCCTGGAGATCTGCAAGCCAAGGTAACGGCGCAGTTCTCCAAGGTCAGTGCAGGTGTGTCTCTTCAGCAGCTCTGCCTTCACGGAGGCCAGCGCGTCCCTGTCTGCTGTGGCAAAGACCAGGTCGTCGACGTAAACGAGGATGTAGAACGGAGTCTGACCAGCACGAACGAAGAGTGAAGGGTCTGCAGAAGACGGAAAGAACTGCAGGTCAGCAAGCGTAGCACGCAGAGTGTCGTGCCACTCACGGGGAGCCTGTCGCAGGCCGTAGACGGGGCGCCGCAGGAGCCACTGGGTCCCAGGAGGGAAGGTGCCAGTAAAGCCCGGAGGGCGGCGCAGGTAGACCTGCTCGTGTAGGCTGCCCTGAAGGAAGGCAGTGGAGAAGTCGAGGGAGTGAAGCTCGTAGTCACGCTGAGCAGCTAGGTGTAACAGAACCCGAAGAGTAGTCATCTTCTGGGTCGGAGCGAAAGTCTGGAAGAAGTCCACCCCCTCGCGCTGACTGAAGCCTCTAGCCACATAGCGCGCCTTGAAGACAGGCGGCTCTCCAGGAGGGCGCTTCACCTTGAAGAGCCAGCGGCCATCGACTACGTTCACCCCAGGTGGGGGAACTGCGTCGACGAAGGTGCCGGTGGATCTCCAAGATGCCATCTCCTGCTCCATGGCAGCTATCCACTGCGAGGCCCAGGGTCCCGAAGTCGCCTCAGCGTAAGTGCGAGGGGTCGGGATGTCGAAAGCGTCTGGGTCACCCTCAGGGACTAGCAGCATGGAACAGAGATGGGGAGCAGCCTCGGAGAGGAAAGCAAGCTCGAACTGGCGGTCCTCCAGGACGTCACTGCCAAGGGCAGGAGCACCCCCGACAGACGGAGGACAGGCAGGGTCAGAGACCAGAGCGGTGGCGTAGTCAAGGCGGCGGGTAGAGGCGAAGTCAGCGACAGCAGCGACAAGGGCGTCAAGGCACGAGACTGGAACAGACGGGTCGGTAACGAGAGAGGCAAGAACCCGAGGAACGAGAGGACGAGCGGCACGAAGGTAGTCGGACAGCGGGGGGGGCGCAACAACAAGGGAGGACGGAGGAGGCGACGGCAGAAGGGGAGGACGAGACGCGTGTGAACGAAGCAACATAGGGTGGGAGCGCAGGACAGGCGAGGCAGGACGAGCACGGGAGGGACGGTGAGACCAGACGTGCGATGGAGGAGTCGGGTCAGGAGACAGGGGAGGGGACACAGGAGGGGAACGAGGGGGGAGACGGGCCGGGGACGAGTCCGGCGGAGGGAAAACAGGGCCGTAGACAGGAAGAGGAGGAGACGGTCGGGGAGGAACCGACGCAGGGTCGGGGGACGGAAGGCCGAGCAGGCGAAGGGCGGACACCGGCGGGGACTGCTGCTGCGGCGGCACAACGGCGACACCTGGACCGCAAGCTGCTCCTCGGCTACCACCGGCACTCTCCACACCAGCACCCCCAGAGGGACCACCCCCAGGGCGACCGGGACGAGCACCCCCAGAGTCAGCGAACGGGGGCGGCGACTGCGACAGCGGCGGCGGCGTCGGCGACGGCGACGGCTGCAGTGGCGGCAGGGACGGCGGAGGAGGGGACTGGGGAGGGGACACCTGGGGAGGGGCGGCCGGCGAGGACTGCACCGGAGGGCCACCAGAGTCAGAAGACTCCTCAACCGGGTCCACGGACGGAAGGGGGGTGACGTGGGAGACACCAGAGGGGGCGGGACGGGGAGGAGGAGGAGGAGGGGCAGGGACTACCGAGGAAGGGGTGACCAGGAACAGGGGGGGGGTAACCGGGGGACCACGGTGGGGGAAGCGGCGGTAGTAGGAGACGGACTCGTCAAAGGTGACGTCACGAGAGTGAAAGAAGCGGTGAGACGGCGGGTGGTAAAAGTGCCAGTCGGACGCGTCAAGGGGGAAACCGAGGAAGACGCAGGGAAGGGTGCGGGCAGTGAGCTTGTCCGTGCCGGAGGCACGGACGTGAGCAAGGCAGCCCCAGACGTGGAACGCAGACGCGTCACCAGGAGACCCAGTCCACAGACGGGTCGGCGAAACCTGCGGCTGCTGAGGGTGCGGCCACAGGTTAAGCTGGTAAGAAGCGTAGCGCACAGCGAACGGCCACAGAAAATGGGGTGCACCGGCATGGACCATGGAGGTGCGAGCGACCTCCATGACCAAGCCGATGCGTCGCTCAGCGACCCCATTCTGCTGTGGGGAGTCCGGTAGGGTGAACGTCTGGGTGATGCCCTCCGCACGACAAAAGCGACCAAGGACACCTGAGGCAAACTCGCCACCACGGTCTGAGTGAAGACGCAAGACAGGGAGACCGCGGTGGACACGCGCAGAGACAAGCCAGGGGATGAGGGCGCCAGGCACGTCGGCCTTGCGCTCCAGGGGAAAGACTGTGGTGTAACGAGTGAAGTCGTCGACAAGCACAAGGAAGTAGCGCTCGCGACGCGGCCCAGGGACGGGGGCGGGGCCCCAGACGTCCAGGTGCAGGGTCTGCAGCGGCGCGGCGGTAGGGGGGAACGAGGAGGAGTGAGGGGCACGGCGAAGCCGACCCTCGACACAAGGCGTGCAAGGTGGAGCTGGGGAGGAGGGAAACGCGGGGAGTGAACCTGGGAGACCAAGGACAAGACCGTGCTGGGACATGTGACGCAGACGCGGGAGCGCAGGGTGACCTAGGCGGTGGTGCCACAGGAGGGTCGGGTGAGTGAGGGAGCGACAGGAGCAGGCAGCAGCAACCTGGGTAGACACAGCCACCTGAGAGGGCGCTCCAGCCGGGGGGGGCACGGTGTCCAGAGTGAACAGGCCGGACACCGGGTCCCGGGGGAACGTGGACAGGGGGGCACCAGTGGCGGCCTCGGTACAGACAGCATACCGCTCGTGACCAGGGAACGTAGTGGTGACGCCAAGGTCCTGGAGGCAGCCGACACCAACTAGGTTCCTGGAGAACGAGGGGATATGCAGACCTGTAAGAGAGCCCGAAGGAACCGCCGGACAGGGAAGGGTGGTGGAACTGCGGGCGACTACCGGACCGCCGGAGGGGTCAGCAAGAGAAACGGCAGCAGGAACAGGAAGCGGCGTCAGGGTGGTGGAGTCGCGGAAGAAACGCCGAGAGGCGCCAGAGTCCAAGGTGAAGGAAAGCGAAGCCGAGGGGTCTGGCGACGGAACGACGGCAGAAGCACCAAGACTACACAAAGCAGGGGATCCTACGCCTGACGCAGCAGGGGAGGCTAAGCTAGGCACACCTACACTAGGCAACAGTGAGTAATAAGTCGGGAGCACACTAGAGTCATCAGCATACATCACATGCAGAGCAGAAACAATGGCATCCATGTCCATATCAAAGATCTGAATCTGACGACTAAGCAAACTGTGCCAGTCCGGCAGGTCTGGCGACGGGCCGAAACGCTGACGAAAGAGGTCGTCCAGGCGACGAAAGCAGCGGGGAGTGGAGTGACCGATCTTACCGCAAACGAAGCCGCGGCGAGGACCGGTCTGGATCTGGTATTGACAACGCCCGCCGGCAGAGCCACCACGCGGCACACCACCACGCGCCCGTCCACCGCCAGCGCCGGGCCACCCTGGCGGGAGAACACTCGTCTGCCGCGTCTGCGACAGCTGCTGCGGCTGCTGCGAAGGCTGCGACTGCGGCGGCTGCTGCGGCTGCTGCAACTGCAGGGGCGGCGACTCAGCTGGACTGGGCAGGGTCCCCTCGTCCGCTCCAGCACCAGGCGACCCGACCCCACCACTACCCCCGCCCGCACCCCCGCCGCCCCCTCCGCCGCGCCCAGCCTTGGTGCGGCGGCCCTTCCCAGAACGGGCCTGCGCCGCAGCAGCAGTCTCAGCCACTGCGGCAGAGCCGTCGGAGAAGGTACACTGAGCGGGGGCACAACCCTGAAAGATAGGGACCGGCACGACACCGCTCGCCTGGGCGATGGAGCGGTGACGGGTCTCTATCACAGTCAGGGTGTCGACAAAGTCAGTGAGGGTGAGGTCTGCGGGGTGAACACTAAGGAAGCGGTCGCGGGCGACAGCAAGGCGGTCAGGGAGGCGGGTGGCAAGCAGGTAGAGGGTAGAGGTAATGGGCGGCTGGTGGGCTCTAAGCTGTGCGTCAGTGCAGGCGGCGCGCCAGGTCTCCTCTATCGAGCGCAGGTGGGCAGCGAGGTCAGAGACAGTGGGGAACGAAGCAAGGTCAGGAAAGAGCAGCGGGAGGATCAGGCGACCCACCGAGGCAGCCGGAGGGGTGGAATAGCGCTTGATGACAGCATCTAAGTATGCCTGAGCAGTAGTGAGGGACCTAAAGCGAGGACGCTCGGACGGGGGGAGTGCGTTGCTAATCGCAAGCTGGGCGACAGCATCGCGAGAAAGCCAGACAGAGCGCGCACGGGCAGTGGCAGCAGTAGACTCACGCTCAGTGGGTGTGGGGTCAGCGGGCAGAATAGCAGGAGGGTCTGGGCAGGGGAGCGTACCGTCAAGGTGTGCGGAAAGCGGTTCACCATCCTGCCGCTGGCCAGTGAGTTGGCGGCGGAGGTCGGCAAGCCACGCGACGGGGCCGGGAGAGCGCGACGGGGCCGGGCAGGGTGCGACGGCGCCGGGCGGGCGCGACGGGGCCGGGCGGCGGCGACGGCGCCGGGCGGGCGCGACGGGGCCGGGCGGCGGCGACGGGGTCGGGCGGGCGCGACGGCGCCGGTCGGGCACGACGGGGCCGGGCGACGGCGACGGCTACGACGCGGCCCAGGAGGGGCGCTACGGGGCCCAGGAGGGGCACGACGGGGGGGCCCAGGAGAGGCGCTACGAAGCCCAGGAGGGGCGCGACGAGGCCCAGGAGGGGCGCTACGGGGCCTGGGAGGGGCGCGACGGGGCCTGGGAGGGGCGCGACGGGGCCCAGGAGGGGCGCTACGGGGCCCAAGGAGGGGCGCGACAGAGCCCAGGAGGGGCGCTACGGGGCTTGGAAGGTGCGCGAAGGGGCCCAGGAGGGGCGCGACAGAGCCCAGGAGGGGCGCTACGAGGCCTGGGAGGAGCGCGACGGGGCCCAGGAGGGGCGCTAGGGGGCCTGGGAGGAGCGCGACGGGGCCTGGGAGGGGCGCGACGGGGCCTGGGAGGGCGTTACAGGGCCCAGGAGGGGCGCTACGAAGCCCAGGAGGGGCGCGACGAGGCCCAGGAGGGGCGCTACGGGGCCCAGGAGGGGCGCGACGGGGCGCTACGGGACCTGGGAGGAGCGCGACGGGGCCCAGGAGGGGCGCTAGTGGGCCTGGGAGGAGCGCGACGGGGCCTGGGAGGGGCGCGACGGGGCCTGGCAGGGGCGCTACGAAGCCCAGGAGGGGCGCGACGGGGCCTGGCAGGGGCGCTACGAAGCCCAGGAGGGGCGCGACGAGGACCAGGAGGGGCGCTACAGGGCCTGGGAGGAGCGCGACGAGGCCCAGGAGGGGCGCTAGGGGGCCTGGGAGGAGCGCGACGGGGCCTGGGAGGAGCGCGACGGGGCCCAGGAAGGGGCGCTAGGGGGCATGAGCGGAAGCGGTAGGTGGGGGGGGGGGATCCTACCTACGCGTGATACCATATCAGAATAATTGAATAATCGTAAAGTGAGAGTACACACAAATATATCTAAGTTTTGTATCCTCTAAGAGGTGACTCTATACAATCTATACAAACATGACAAATACACATGTTTGACAAGAGCATCTACAACATAACATAAATCAACCAGATGCGCGGATTCATGTGTGACTGTTGGCTTACCGGTACCGTATTGGTGTCGTGCATGGATGGGCATAGATGACGTAAGGCGGTGACAGCACAGAGCATGCGAGGCGATCAAGGAAGGCCAAGAAGCAGCTGATGAGAGCTCAGTCACACGGCAACACGGCGGCAACACAGCAACACGGCCACACAGTCGCACAGCCACATGGGGCTACACATGGGTCACTCCACCCGATGCTCTGTTCTATTCGTCGAGGTCAACGGAGTCCTCCACCTCGGCAAAGGCTGTGGAGTAGAAGGCCTTGAAGAGGTGGTACGCCGTGTCGATGTCGTCCGACGCACACATCTCACGGATGCTGCAGGGGGTTGGAGGGGGTTGGAGGGGGTGAGAGGGGGTGAAGAGGGGGTGAGAGGGGATGAAGAGGGCTGTACAGAGTGGACATAGCGCATGGAGGGGAGGGGGTGAGGAAGCTGATGCCTTGGCATGACATGGCATGGCATGGCATGGCATGGCATGGCAGTATGAAGTGTTCGTGTCATGTGAAAAGGAAGGACCTGTCTTCCTAAAGTTTTAGAGCCGTTCCTCTGGGCCCTAAAAGGTGTTCCCTTAAACCCCTCAGAACCTTTTCCAGCTCCTGCTCCTTTCCAATAACGCTTGTGGGTTTCCCACTGCTACGCTCGCACCCACACCCCACGTTGCATGGAGATGTGGGTAAAGCCGACGCGTTTTGAGTCGACTCAGAACACACAAGGCTCCCCTCTGTCTGTCACACTCACGTCCACACCCGTAGGTGTATGGAGAGATGGGTAAAGCTGACGTTCAAGGACGTGTGCCGGGAAGAATCTTTTCTTGAGTTGCCGCACACATACTCACACTCACACACTTACACACTCACACAGCCACACACCCACACTTACTCACTATCCGCCACATCCACCTGTGCATGGAGAGCTGGGGAATGCCCGCATACACAGCGCGGATGGTGACATTCTAAACGCCTCACACACACACGCAAGCACGCATGCACGCACGCACGCACACGCACGAGCGCGCACAGGCACACGCACACACACACCTGCATGCATGAGCGCGCTCGCACACACACACACATCCTTCTCACACACACTCCCCCGGCAAACCCACCTGTGCATGGACAGCTGCGGAACGCCCACGTTTACAGTGCGAATGGCAACATTCATACAATCTGCTATTGATACGCCTCTCTCACACACACACACGAACCGCCCTCACACTCAATCTCTCTCTCTCACACACTCCCCCGCCACACCCACCTGTGCATGGACAGCTGCGGAATGCCCACGTCCACAGTGCGGATGCCCAGGCCCGAGGCGAGGATGGGGCCGATGGTGCTGCCACACCCCATGTCGTTGCGCACCACAAAGGACTGAAAGGGGGGAGAGGAGTGCCGGGCGAGAGCAATGGGGGGTAGAGGACAGGACAGGACAGGACAGGACAGGAAGGACAGGACAGGACAGGACAGGACAGGACAGGACAGGACAGGACAGGACAGGACAGGACAGGACAGGACAGGACAGGACAGGACAGGACAGGACAGGACAGGACAGGACAGGACAGGACAGGACAGGACAGGACAGGACAGGACAGGACAGGACAGGACAGGACAGGACAGGACAGGACAGGACAGGACAGGACAGGACAGGACAGGACAGGACAGGGCAGGACAGGACAGGACAGGACAGGACAGGACAACAGGACAGGACAGGACAGGACAGGACAGGACAGACAGGACAGGACAGGACAGGACAGGACAGGACAGGACAGGACAGGACAGGACAGGACAGGACAGGACAGGACAGGACAGGACAGGACAGGACAGGACAGGACAGGACAGGACAGGACAGGACAGGACAGGACAGGACAGGACAGGACAGGACAGGACAGGACAGGACAGGACAGGACAGGACAGGACAGGACAGGACAGGACAGGACAGGACAGGACAGGACAGGACAGGACAGGACAGGACAGGACAGGACAGGACAGGACAGGACAGGACAGGACAGGACAGGACAGGACAGGACAGGACAGGACAGGACAGGAACAGGACAGGACAGGACAGGACAGGACAGACAGGACAGGACAGGACAGGACAGGACAGGACAGGACAGGACAGGACAGGACAGGACAGGACAGGACAGGACAGGACAGGACAGGACAGGACAGGACAGGACAGGACAGGACAGGACAGGACAGGACAGGACAGGGAGGATGGTGGATGGGAACACTTCAGGCGCCTCAACCAAGGCGGGATGAGAGGATGGGGCCGATGGTGCTGCTGCCACACCCCATGTCGTTGAGGGCCACAAAGGACTGCAGGGGGAAGAGGAGGGTTGGGCGAGAGGGATAAGAGGACAGGACAGGGAAGGGAGGATGGATGGGAACATTTGAGGCGCCTCAACCAAGGCGGGATGCAAGGATGGGGCCGGTGATGTTGCTGCCATGCGCCATGTCGTTGAGGGCCACAAAGTAGTGCCGGGGGGGGGGAGGAGGGGAGGAGTGGGGGGGAGAGGAATGGGAGGGAAGAGCAGGGAAGGGGCAGACAGACGTTCGAGGTGCCTGTACAAAGGCAGGTGTGGGGATGGTGCTGCTGCCACACCTCGTGTCATTGTGCGTGATAGAAATTTCGTTTTCAGTCGACTCAAAACGAAATTAATATCACACTCCATGTCGTTGCGCACAATAAAGGACTGTGGGAGGGAAGGGGTATACCAACAACAGGGGTGGGGCAATTACAATGCACCCGGCATGGCAAACCCATCGCGTGAGACGACATGCATCCACGCATAGAATAGAATAGCGCTCGTCCAGTCACAAGCAGCTGCGAGGCACAGCAGCAGCAGCAAACCTGGCAGGGCGGGCCGTGCTTGTTGCCGAGGAGCTTGAGAAGGAAGGAAGGAGCAGCAGCAGGGCATGGCCTAGCTCACTCACCCACTCGCAAGCAGCAGCAGGGCATAGCAGCGCACCTGGCAGGGCAGTCCGTGCTTGGTGGCGAGGTGCTTGAGGAGGAAGGAGGAGACGAGGTTGGTGGCGTAGCGCTGGTTGGCGTTGTGCTTCACCACCACTCCCATCCCCAGCCGCGGCTGGTGCCGCTCCTCGTGCTTCTCAGGGTAGTTGGGGTGCAGCGCGTGGGCCATGTCCGCACTCACTGGGAATGGGGGGTGGGGAGGGGGAAGAGGGGAGGAGGGGAGAGGAGGAGTGAAGAGGGGAAGGGCATGATGGCAAGAGTCATGGTTATCAAAGCCCCAACTATGACCAGATTCTCTTGCCTGTGCGCGCACTCATTCCACCATACTCCCTACGTCACCAGTCCTCCCCACCCTTCCAGCTCTCTCATTGCATGTATCTCCTTGCCCCACACCACACCACACCACACCACACCACACCACACCACGCCACACCACACCACGCCACATCACCACCACCATAAGCAGCAGACCTAAAGCGAACAGCACCCAACCAGACTCCTCTCAACCGGTGTGAGTTGACGCAAAATACACCTGAAATTGCACCTCTTGAGTCGAGGCGACTCAAAATACACCTGAAAATACACTAAGACCAGCAGCACTCACCCAGGAACGACCGCCTGAGGCTCCTCTCAACCGCCCCCTCCACTCCCTCTGCTCCTGCCTCCCCCCCTCCCTGCCTGGCCATCTGCTTGACTATGCGCTTGATGGCATGATACATGGTGGGGGACGATGCCCCACTGGCCGACTCTGATCCTACCTGGTGTGGGGAGGGGAGAGAGGGAGGGCGACATGGGAGATTTTTATCCTGCCTCGGATAGCGTTCCTTTCTCCCTCCCCTGGCTGGCCATCTGCTTCACTATGCGCTTGACGGCATGGTACATGGTGGGGGACGACGCCCCATTGGCTGAATCAGACCCCACCAGAAGCGGAGAGAGGGAGGTGGGCAGACAGGAAGGAAGGAGCATGGTCGAGGTGTTAACAGGAAGGGTAGGTGGAAGTGTTGAGAGGTCTATTCATACTCAAATTGAAGCTTCTCTATTGCTAAGGAGGTCCCCCCCCACCCCCCCGCTACACATACTTTCAGACCCTAGGGCCTGGGCCAGTGGGCAGCACCACCACCGCACCGCAGGAGGATAGCAAAATAGAACGAACAAACGGTGAGGCAAAGGCACATGAACCATTCGCTCTCCTCTCCTCCTTCACTCCTACTCACCCATGCCCTTCTCCCAGCTCAGATGATCAAGACTAACCCAACCCCTCCCTTTGTCCCTTGCCCTAGCTGCTAGCTTCCCAGTCCTCATGTCCTGTTCCCTCTAACGAGCCTCATTCTTCATCCGGGTACTTGCTCCCGCACAGCTGCTGCGTCACCCTAAACCCTGAACCATCAAGTCCAGAATCCGGCCCTTGTTCCCCACTCATTCCCGCTCACGCACTTTCCCTTCATCCAACAGCGCCACCACCCATACACCCCTCTCCTCCTCCAAACCCTCAGCGCCTCTTCACTATCCCATAACCTTCACAGGTACCCCCCCACCCCCTCCCCGTCCCGCCCCCCCCACCACCACGACATGCACCTCCTCATTACCAAACAGTGCCACCACTGCACGCCCCTCTCGTCCTGCCCCCCCCACGCCATGTTCTCTCTGTCCTCAATATCCATTCAACCATACCTCTACCAGTCACTGGACCCCTCTTTCCTTACCCACGCCCACCCACCTCCTCATTATCAAACAGCGCCACCACTCGCACGCCCCTCTCGCCCTGCCTCCCGCACGTCATGATCTCTCTGTCCTCAATACCCATTCAATTCAACCACACCTCAACCAGTCACCACCACATCCCTCTCCACCCACCCACACACCCACACACCTCCTCATTATCAAACAGCGCCACCACCCGCACGCCCTGCTCCTCCTCCAGCCCCTCAGCACCTCCTCACTATCCAGGTAACCCACCCCCACCCCCTTCCCCCCTACCACCCACCACCCACCACCCACCACCCACCCACCCACCCACCAACCTCCTCATTATCAAACAGTGCCACCACCCGCACGCCCTGCTCCTCCTCCAGCCCCTCAGCGTCGATCAGCGCCTGCAGCGCCGTGTAGCAGCACGCCAGGTTGTCCAGCCGCCCGCTGAATATGAACTCGCCTGCGCCCCCCGCCCCGGCTACGCTGCGCTGTGTGTCGCACACGTTGAGTTCGAAGTCCAGGATGGCGGAGGGCGGGCAGGAGAGCTGCTCTGCCAGGAGCTGATGGGTGGTGGGTGTTGTGGGGCGGGAGAGGAGGGGGAGGAGAGAGAAGGTGATAGGGCAGAGTTAGGGGACACCATTTCTGTGTGTCGCACACGTTGAGCTCCAAGTCCAGGATGGCGGAGAGCGGGCAGGAGAGCTGCTCTGCTAGCAGCTGGCGGGTGGGTGGGTGGGTGCGTGTGGGATTTCAAGGGGGGGGGGAGGGGAAGGGAAGGTGTTGGGTTGGGGGCAAGAGAGCAAGTGAGTGGGCAGAGAGAGGGGATGGAGTTATTGTGTGTCGCAGACGTTCAGGTCGAAGTGCATGATGGAGGAGGGCGCGCGGAAAAGCTGCTCTGCCAGGAGCTGTGGGGTGGGTGGGTGGGTATGTGTGGGTTTGGGACAGAGGGTGCAAGTGAGCAAGTCAGTGGGTCAGGTGGGGAACAACTATGTGTGTCGCACGTGTTCAATTAAAAGTCCATTCGCCCATTCCCCACCCCAAACCCATCCCCATACCCATCCCCATCCCCATCGTGTCTTCCAGCACCCCTATTCCGCCCATGCGACTTCCCTTGAGCCATGCCTACCCAATCCCCTCAAGGCTCGAGCTCTCAACCCATCTACCAGGCGTCTTCTCTCCTCCCTCCCTCCCTCTCCCTCTCTCCCCTCACCTCCAGCAGCAACGAATGGTGCTCCGCGCTCCCATTCCCACTCCCATTGCCATTGCCGTTGCCACTACTGCTGGCTGTGCCATTAGGCTTGCCATTCGCAGCAGCAGCAGCAGCAGCAGCAGCAGCAGAGCCGTTTTTGGCGTGCAGTTGGGCTTTGATCTGAGTGGCGAGGATAGGAACAAGATGGGTCTCTGCATTGGGCTTGAACCCTTCTGTGTTCACGTTCCTGGGGGGGAAGAGGGAGAGAGGAAGGAGGAGGAAGAGGGTAGAGTGAGTGGCGAGCACAGGCACGAGATGGGTCTCTGCATTGGGCTTGAACCCTTCTGTGTTCACGTTCCTGGGGGGGAAGATAACCGGAAGAGAGGAAAGAGGAGCAAGCGGATACTGTGAGTGGCGATGAGAGGCACGAGATGGGTCTTTGCGTTGGGCTTGAACCCCTCTGTGTTCACGTTCCTGGGGGGGGAGACAACTGGAAGAGGCGAAAGAGGAGGAAGAGGGTAGTGTGAGTGGCGAGGCGAGGATAGGAACGAGATGGGTCTCAGTGTTGGGCTTTAACCTTTCTGTGTTCACGTTCCTGGGGAGAAGGACAACCGGAAAAGGAAGACTGTGGGAGGGGGAAAAGGAGGAAGGGGGAAACAGCGTGAGTGGGGAGGGGATCGAAGGGACAAATTGGGCTTGCGAGAAAGTGGAAGAGGAGGAGGAGAGGAGAAAGAGGGTAGTGTGAGTGCCAAGCAAGGACAGTCACGAGATGGGTCTCTGTATTGTGCAAGACCCCTTCTGTGTTCACGTTCCTACTCCGGAACACAGCGGACGGGGTATAGGAGGATGGGGGCGAGGGGTCGGAGAGGGATTTTGGCGAACGGGGAGGAGGAGGGGCGGAAGTGAAGAAGAGGAGGGGAAAGGGTGCCTGGCTGGCTCAAGAGCAACGAAGCAAGACCCCATCGGTGCATCGGGAAAACGGGAGCACAAGTCGGCAAACACTGCAAATGTCTCTGTTTTTTGCAGGCCCACATTCTCCCCGCCCCTCTTCTTCCCATCCCATTACAACCCCACCACACCTCCCCTTTCCCAACCCACCCAAACCCCCAACATAACCAATCTTCCCACCCTACCCTACCCACCCTACCCGCCCCACCCAACCAACCCACCCTACCCATCCCACCCACCGGTCCAGGTGGATCGCTAGAGTAGGGGTTCTCAGGATCGGCCGGTCAATATGAACCAGGCACCATCCACTGCGCCAACCTGCCATCCTCCCCCCACACGAGCGCACGCCCACACAAGCACACCCCCCACCCCTACCCACCCGACCCACCGGTCCAGGTGAATCGCCAGCGTAGGGATTCTCAGAATCGGCCGGTCAATCTGAGCCAGGCGCTGCACCACCCTGCCATCCTCTCCCCGCACGAGCACACGGCCCGCCACAGAGAGGTCCCGGTCGAACCACGTGTACCAGAGGCCGCCCCCGTACGTCTGCACTGCGAGGGACAGGCAGCCGCCCTTGCTGGCTGCTGATACCGGCTTGAGCTTGAGGCAGGGGCTGTCGGTGTGCGCTGCCACTATGCGCAGAGGCAGAGACGATGGGGACACCCTGGTGAGGAGGGGGCCGTCGGAGGGAAGGGGAGGGAGGGGGGACGAGAGGGGGGTGGGGACAACGGAGGGTTGGGGTGGGATGGAGGAGAAGGGGAGGTAAGGGTAGGGAGAAAAGAGCGAGAGGTTTGCAGCGAACTTGCTGGCTGTTGATACTGGCAGGGGCTGTCTATGGGCTGCTAATATGCGCAGAGGCAGAGACGAGGGCCACACCCTGGGGGAAACGGGGAAGGGGGCACGGGGCAGGGAGAAAGGGACGAGGGGTGGAGAGTGGGGAGTGGGAACGTGTTCATGTAGCCAGTTTGCAGGTATGGAGTGAGAAAAGAAGTTGAATGGGGGAATGGGGAGTGGAGGAAAAAGGGGAATAAGGGAGGGGGGGGCATGCAGGGAGGCAGGAGGATTGGTGTCAGTGCTTTGCACGATTCAATCACAGCCCATTCAATAGAGGAATCCAGATCAAGAAAAGGGCCACACAACAGCACTGAGTGTGGTGTGCTACAGTTCTTGTTTGAGCTGACATCCCTCTTTGCCTCCCCACTCCTGTGCCTCCCCACTCCTGTGCCTCCCCACCCCTGTGCCTCCCCACCCCTGTGCCTCCCCATCCCTGTGGCCCTTACTTCTCGCCAACAGCAAACGCCACGATGGACGACAGGTAGCGAGTGAAGAAGCACTTGCCTTCGAGTCAAAGGTGCAACTTTAACTCGACTCAAGAAGATACACCACCCCATCCCTGTACCACCCTTCCTCCTTGCCAATTACTTCTCGCCAGCAGCGAACACCACGATGGACGACAGGTTGCGAGTGAAGAAGCACTTGCCGCCTGGCCTCAGGTGTATGCTTAACTCGACTAAGGAAACACGTTCCCTCCCATCTCTGTGCCAGCCCCCTCCCCTTGCCCCTTCTCTCCAGTTAAAAGAACACCAGAAACGCGTTCCTCCCTCCCTCAGCTGCTTGTCTCAAGGGCACCATCCCATGTGCCTGCATACCCCACTGATGGGCCCCAACACCACGCGCACCGCCAGCAAACGCCCTTACTTCTCGCCAACAGCAAACGCCACGATGGACGACAGGTTGCGAGTGAAGAAGTATTTGCCCCCTGGCCTCAGCCGCCACTCGTCCGCCTCCCTCAGCTGCTCGTACCCCGCTGCTCTCAACAGCTCCCGCGCCGATGCTGGTATGGGAGGGGGGAGTGAGGAAATGGAGCGGCGAATGCAGGGATTGGAAAATTATTATCAAACCACCTGGGATGCTCAAATACAGCATGTAATATTCACCAGCACTCCCGCGGCCCGCTCGTCCGCCTCCCTCAGCTGCTCGTGCCCCACTGCTCTCAGCAAGTCTTGCGCCGATGCTGGGGAGGAGAGGGGGAAGATGGAGATGGGAGGCAGGATGAATGAACGGGACGTGGCATCGCCTGGTGCACAAATAGCAGATGCCAACAACTGCAAGGTCGAGGGAAATGGCATCATCTGGTGACCAAACCTCCACCTGAATGACCAAACCTCCACCTGAATGACCAAACATCCACTCGTATGTCCAAACTACCAAAAATCGGGCCCATCCCATAGGGCCGTGGCAGGAGGGAGGGCTCCTCCTCACCTCCCCTCCCCGGCCATCCGGCTGCTTACAATACAATCTCTCCATCTTCCCTCTCCTCCCTGACCACTCTGTTTTCTTCCCTTCCCCTCCCTTCTCTTCCCTTTGCCTCCCCTCATTTTCCTTTCCCTCCCCTCCCTTCCCTTCGCCTCCCCTGCCTCTGTTGACTTCCCCATGCTCGCCTCGCACCTGTGGCATGGAACTGCGTCCACGAGTTGTTGAGATAGTCCACGAAGGACGACACAACAGATACAGAGCTTGTGCTGCTGCTGCTGCTGCTGCTCTGCTGAGGGGAGCAGGATAAGGAACGGGAAGAGATGGAAAAAGAAGCCAGCGGCAGGGAGGGTGGGGCGGCCTGATTCAAGAGAATACGCAAAGGCACATGCAGAGGACCATTCCACGGCGGGTATTCCATAGCAGAGCATTCCATAGCGGAGCATTCCATAGCGGAACATTCCAAAGCAGAGCATTTCAAATCGGAGCTGTGCTGCTGATGGCCTGCCTGTGGCTCACCACCTACCCGTCCGCGTGCGCCTCCCTCGAAAGACGCCTTCCCCGCGGTCGCCGCGGTCGCCCCGTCTGCTTCCGCCTGTCCGCGCGAGTCAGCGCTGGCGTCGGAAGCCGCGCAGCGGAGCGACAGGGTCGGCGACGGCTTGGCTGCGTGCAGCCACTGGCGATGATGATGGCGACTGCTTAATCGTCGCCAGCTGTCGCACGCGACAAGTCCCGTCGCCAGGCGATTCGCGTAGCTCGCGCACAGTGACGTCGCGGAGGCGGTTTGCAGGAACGGCGAATGACTGTTGGGTTGGGATTCGCATGTTGCGATCGCGTGCGACCCGGCGACACTGAGGCGACGTCGCACGGAGCGGAGCGTGGTGGCGACTGGAGTGGAGCGTGCGACGGTGTGTGTGCCGAGGCGAGCGTGCATTGCGGGGACCGCGGCCATGGTAGGCAGGGTGACAGTTGATGTGTCTCGATAATAGGTGTCTCGATAATAGTTGTCTCGATAATAGGTGTCTCGATAATAGGTGCCTCGATGATGTGTGTATCAACAACTCAAAGCAGATGAACCAATGTAGCGGATGGTGTCGTCGCTGTGGTTAGTGCTGATGCTCTGGATGGAGGATGGGGGTTGGTGGAACAAGTCGACCACAGGCGAATGGTAATGAGTTCGGTTACCAGCAGCGAAATGACGCGAGAAGTGCAGGCGATTCGAGACGAACGATATAAAATACCGCCAGGAAAGGTGAAGGGAACTGCAAAAGCTGCAGCTTAAATCTACGAGTAAACGAAACGGCAAAGGCGAGGCGACAAGGAGAAGAGGGAGAGAACGAATGACAGGAAAAGCCCGTGGAAGGAAGCTCACTGGGACAAGCTCACTGGTCTGGTCACTGACTGCTGCGGCAGTGCGGGTCGCTTGGGCTCATCCACGACACTAAGGTTGATCCGTCCTTGGGCTAGTCCCTTAATCTCAACTCTTCGTCGCTCGCTCCTTTTGGCCTAGATATTGGCTGCCTGTCGGCCTGGATATTGCGTAGGCTGCTGTGCAGCATGGATAATGGATGCTAGGGAACGTTCGTCTGAACATTGCGGAGTGGAGCGGGAAGAGGCGTGCGCGACATTTTTTCAGGGGATTCGAAGTTTCTCGGCCAAACGTAGGTCGAACTTTTCTCGTGCCCGAATGGACCGCGAATTATAACAGTCAAGATTTATTATTACCCCGGTCAAGACAGCCGGCCTTAATAAAACAAGGTTGCCGATACTGAACAGTAGAAGCCCATCAAAGGGACCACTATGTCAAAGCAGAAACACTGAACCTTCTTTGAAAAAGAATGTCTAGAGAGTGGTTTGGTCGATCAATTCTTTTTTTCAATGTTTCTGGGATGCTAATTAGTATGAACGTAAGTGCTTGCTGGCTGTTGTGCTAAATTTAGCCTATGGCTGTGTGTGAAGCTGGTGCGCGAAGTGTTTCAGTGGTTGTTTTTTGTCTTGTGCTTTTTTCGTTTCTTGTGTCAACTTATATTCATATGTTGTTGTAGGCTAGATATGTGCGTACTCGTAGAGAGTACAACACACTAGCACAAAACCACCATGTGTGCTCGTTTCCATTCAATCTGTTATTCTAAGATGGTACCACGCTAGGTTAGGTCCCTCACCCGCACTTCCGCCCTAGTCCGCCGTAGTCCCTAGCGCGCGCCCTATCGTACCCGCGCCCTAGCCCACTTGCCCCTAGCTCACCGCTAGCCCTTCGCGCGCCACACGAGCCTTAGCCGGGTGGCCCTAGCTCTGCTGGCCCTTCGCGCGCCGCGCAAGCCCTTGTCCGCTTGCCCCTAGCTCGTCGCTGGCCCCTCGCTCGTCGCTGGCCCCTAGCTCGCTCGCTGGCCCTTAGCTCGTCCGCTGGCCCCTAGCTCGTCGCTGGCCCTTCGCGTGCTGAGCGCACCATGACCTGCTGGCCCCTAGATTACCGCTAGCCCTTCGTGCGCCGCGTGAGCCCTAGCCCGCTGGCCCTAGCTCGCCGCTGGTCCTTCGCACGCCGCGCGAGCCCTCGCCCGCTGGCCCCTAGCTCGCCACTGGCCCCTCGCTCGTCGCTGGCCCCTAGCTCGCCCGCTGGCCCCTAGCTCGTCCACTGGTCCCTAGCTCGCCGCGGGCCCTTCGCGCGCCGCGGGGATCCCTAGCCCGCTGACCCCTAGCTTGCCGCTGGCCCTTCGCGCGCCACGCGAGCCCTAGCACGCTGGCCTCAGCTCGCTGGCCCTAGCTCGCCGGCCCTCGATCGCCAGCCCTCGCTCGCCGGCCCTAGCTCGTCGGCCCTAGCACGCTCTCCACCCCTACCGCCCTCGCCGGCCCCAGTTCGAGCCGGCCCCTAGTTCCCGCCGGCCCCAGCTTCTACCGACCCTGCTCGACGCCGCCCCGCTGCCGGACTCTACTTCCTGAGCCACACCGCCCCAGCTCGCTGTGCCGCTATGCTGCCGTGCCGCCGTATCGTCGTGTCGCCATGCCGCTATGCAGCCGTGCCGCCGTGTCGCCGTGCTGTTGTAGCCGTGGTGATGGCGGGCGCTGTGCTCAGCCTGGATGCGGAGGGTCGGGCGGTCGACTTGGAGGCGTGGCTCGCCGACCTTCGCCACCAGCTGAAGGGTCAGCGCCAGGACGGCCAGTCCTTGGGCGTCCACGTCAACAGTAAGCTCCCCTGCCCCGACCCGCCTGCTGTCCACCATGACGCCCCCACGCCTGCTGAGCATGAGGCCTTCGCCGCTGCTGAGCTCGCCCGCTCTGTCTGGAAGTCGCGCTTGGCAGTTGCGCAGCTTGCTATCAGTCACGCCCTCCGCATGTCCGAGCATCCCCGGTTTCTGACTGTAGAGACTGTGAAAGAGTACCTAGATGACGTCATTGCACGCTATTCCACTCCCTCCACCTCTGCTGGCAGTCTCCTTCTTCCCCTGCTCTTCCCTGATCTTGTGTCCTTCCTCACTGTCGCTGATGTTGCGATCTTCCGCCAATACACTATCGCTCAGTCTAGCGCTACTATGCCGGTCCTATCTTCCACGGCTGTTCTCCCTCCCAATGTACTTACTCTGACGATTCTGCCGCTGTCGCAGAGACAGCCCCTACTGCTGAGACCGCTGCGGCGGCCTCAGCGCAGCCTCGTTAAGGTAAGTACCACAGCCCCAGGGGGGGCGTGGCGGATGGAGTTGGTGCGAGTACCGGTGGTACAGACGAGGGGGCCGAGGCTGATGCCCCGGAGTAGCAGCAGGAGCAGCAGCAGCAGTAGTAGCAGCAGCCCTAGTAGCAGCAGCAGTATCAATCGCAACAGCAACAGCAGCAGCAGCCGTGGGGACCCCCGCCGTCGTGGTGGCCTTGCGGCTTCGGTGGCGTCGGCCGCGGTGGCGGCTCGCGCAACTCGGTGTCGGGTGCTGGCTCAGGTGCGGTGACTTGTCAGTACCAGCTTCAGACCTCTTTTTTTTCTTTTTCTTTTTTTTTCTTTTTTTTTTCCGGGCTTTAAGGAAATCCCTGGAGGAAACCAGCTTCAGACTAGCCCCCTTCTCGGTGACGTGTGCGATCGTCGCCTCGATGACCTCTTTTGTCTCCATTTCGGGCCCGCGTCGGACCTCCCGGACTGGCACAACCTGGTACGTCGCCGTGTGCTGGTCTTTGAGATGGATATGGATCCGATTAGGTATGCTTTGTATGCCATGTACGATGATGACTCTAGTATGACTGGCCCTTATTACCATGTATTGCCTAGTGTAGGTGTGTCCACTTTGTGTAGTCTAGGCTCCCATGCTGCGTCAGGCGTAGGACCTCCTACCTTGTTCAGCCTTGGCTCCACCCTAGTCCCTCCGGCGGCTGACGCTACGAACACGCTCTCCTTCACCCTGGACTCTGGTGCGCCTGCCTGCTTCTTTCGTGACAACACTGCGCTCACGCCGCTTGGTGCCATTGCAGCTGTCGTGCTTGCTGACCCCTCCTAAGGTCTGGTAGTTGCACGTAGCTCCACCACCCTTCTGTCCGGCGGTTGCCTCGGGTTCCCTTACAGGCTTGAATATCCCCTCGTTCTCCAAGAACCTAGTTGGTGTCGGTTGTCTTCAGGACCTCGGTGTCACCACTACGTTCCCTGGACATGAGCGGTACGTGGTCGGCGCCACTGGTGCCCCCCTCACCACATTCACCCGAGAGCTGGTGTCTAGCCTATTCACGCTGGACACCGTGTCCCCTCCCGTGGGATTGTCCTCTAAGGTGGAGGCGCCTACTCAAGTCGATGCAGCTTGCTCATGTCGGTCGCTCACTCACCCGTCGCTTCTATGGCACCACCATCTAGGTCACCCTGCACTCCCGCGTCTGCGTCACATGTCCAAGCTTCGTCTTGTCTTAGGTCTCCCTGCGTCGCTCCCTGCCTTCCCTCCCTCGCCCGCACCTCCGTGCACGCCTTGCGTCGAGGGCCGGCTGCGCCGTGCTCCTCACTCCTCCGCGTTTCCCCCCACCACTGCGCCACTTCAGACCCTGCACCTAGACGTCTGGGGCCCAGCCCCCGTCCCTGGGCCACGTCGCAAGCACTACTTTATAGTGCTTGTCGACGACTACACGCCCTACAACACGGTGCTTCCCCTGGAGCAGAAGGCCGACATGACTGACGCTCTTATCCCGTAGCTTGTCGTTTTGCGTGTCCACCTCGCCCTGGCAGTGCTCCGTCTCCACTCCGACCGTGGCGGTGAGTTCGCCTCCGGTTGGCTTGGCCAGTTCTGTCGTGCAGAGGGCATCACATGCTCGTACACCCTGCCAGACTCCCCGCAGCAGAATGGGGTCGCTGAGCGACGCATCGGTTTGGTCATGGAGGTGGCTTGTACCTCCATGATCCATGCCGGTGCACCCCATTTTTTGTGGCCGGTCGCTGTTCGCTACGCTGCTCACCAACTTAACCTGTAGCCACACTCCCAACGGTCGCAGGTTTCGCCGACCCTTCTCTGGACCGGGTCCCCTAGTGACGTGTCAACGTTCTACGTCTGGGGCTGCCTCGCTCACGTTCGTGTCTCTGGCACGGACAAGCTCACCGACCGCACCGTCCCTTGTGTCTTCGTTGCCTTCCCCCTAGACGCGTCTGACTGGCACTTTTACCACCCACCGTCTCACCGCATCTTTCATTCGAGTGACGTCACCTTTGACGAATATGTCTTCTTCTACACCCGCTGTCCCCACCTAGGTCTCCCGGTTACCCTTCCCCTGTTCCTTGTCCCCACTCCACCGGTAGCTCCTGCTCCCCTCCCTCCCCGTCCTGCCCCTTCTGGTGTGTCTCACGTCACTCCCCTTTCCTCAGTTGCCCCGGCGTAGGAGTCGGCTGACTCTGGGGGCCCCACGGCTCAGGGTCCGCCGCCTCTCTCCGCCCCGGTGTCTCCTCCGCCGCTACCGCCGCCGCAGCAGCCGCCGCAGCAGCCACCGCCGCCGCAGCCGTAGGGGTCCGCGAGCCCTGGGGGTGCGGGCGCTGAGTAGAGTGCTGGTCCTGGGGGTGGTGGTTCTAGGGGTGCTAGTCCTGGGGGTGGCACCGATGCTGGAGAGGGTTCTCGTCCTAGGGGTGCGGTCGTGGAGGGTCCCAGGGGTAGCCGTGGTGCAGCTGGAGGCTCTGGTGTCGACGTGGAGCAGTTGCAGCAGTCGCCGCCGGTCTCCGCTCTTCGCCTCCTCGGTCTTTCCTCCCCCGGCTACCCGCCAGTGCCTCCCCTCGCGCCGCCTCCTCCACCTGTCTACGGTCCTGTGTTTCCTCTGTCGGACTCGTTCTTGGCTTGTTTCCCCCCTCGTTCTCCTCCTGTGCCTCCTGACCCGATGCCTCCCTCCCATTTCTGGTCTCGCCGTCCCACTCGCGCTCTCTGTCTCCCCGGTTCAACGTTCTCACCCTATGCTGCTCCGTTCTCACGCGTCTCGTGCTCCTCTTCTCCTGTTGTCTCCTCTGTTTCACTTGTTTTCTCTCCACCTCCTCTTTCTGTTTATCTCCGTGCTGATAGTCCCCTTCTTCCTCGGGTCCTCGCCTCTA